GTTAGCGGCAAAATCAGAGATTAAAACAAATTACCCAACCAAATAGTTTTTGTGGAAAAGTACAGGGAGTTTGAGATCCAGGTGGGTTAATTTAAGTGGCTTTTTCTTTCTTTCTTATTTTATTTTCAAATCACACCTGGCAATACTCAAGGGCTTTTCCCAGCTCTGTGCTATGGAGCTCAGAGGACCATATGCTCTATGAAGATTGAATCAGGACGTCCTGCGTGCCAAGCCAGTGCTCTCTCCATTAATTCAGATTGAAACTTTAGCTCTCTGGCTAAGAAAGTAATACTGTAGCTCAATCCAGGAGACAGAGTTGGAGTTAGACCAAGCAAATAATACCAGAAAAGACCTTCCCAAACAGGAGATAGGATATTTTAAGACTTGACACTGAGAAAGACCAGGGAATTAGGAACAGAACTAAAAGCCAGTGTGAAACAAATGAGTTGTGGGGAGGGGTTGAAAGGGAAGGCCATTAGGGTCCTTGAGCAAGAAAGTTGGGTATACTGGTGATGGGTGTGGTGTTGGAATTATGGGCAGGGAAACCATCATTAACAGTTTTGCCAATCACAGAAATTCAGTCAATAAAGTTAAAATCAATAGAAGCCAAGTAAAGGGCATAAGTTCAAAGCGAAGAGGAGAGATAGATCATTCAAGCAAGGTCTGTTAGTTAGCCAACGGGAAGATGGTTGGGTTATTTTTTTTTCTTTGTTTTGGTTAAATTTTCTCCAAGGGCTAGAGAGATAGTATAGCAGGTCAGGTGCTTGTCTTCCATGCAGCTAACCTGGATTTGATCCTCAGCACTGCATATGGTCCCTCAAGTCCACCAGGAATGACCCCTGAGAGCATACATTAGGAGTAAGCTCTCAGTACCACTGCATATGACCCCAAAACAAAAAAAACAAACAAAAAACCCAAGCAGAAAATGGTTGATTCAGACCAAAGATGATGGTGATGTAGCCTTGGTAGAGTGTTGAATTCAGAGTATGTTTTGTGGCAGGGAAATTGTATTGAGTGTAAGCCACTGTTGTTATCATGTGTGAAAAGAAAAACAGGACTTTTTATGTGGGGAGCTCTACAGCCAGCATTGCTCAAGGCTGGCTTGAGATGGCTTGAGGCTTGCTCAAAGCCAGACTCCTGGGTTTACACTCAGGGATTACTCCTGGTGGGCTCTGCGTACCATATGGGGTGTTGGGGATCTAACCAGGTATGCCACGTGGATGGCAAACATACCTGCTGTGCTCTCTCTGCCCCCAGATCAGGACTTTCTTAAGGAATTTATTGTTTTAACACGTTTGTCAAGCTACTACTCACCTCTGGGTCTCTTTTATTTATTTATTTTTTTGCTTTTTGGGGTCACACCCAGCAATGCACAGGGGTTACTCCTGGCTCTGCACTCAGGAATTATTTCTGGCAGTGTTCAGGGGACCATATGGGATGCCAGGGATTGTACCCAAGTCAGCCACGTACCTACCTATCACTCCGGTCCCGAAGCATAGCATTGTGTTTAAATAAATTTTGTTGTGTTTAAATCTCTGAATACTAAGTTTTGTTGCTTTTCCCAAAAACTTTTGGAGAATTGGGGCCTGAGAGAGAGCATGAAGGTCAGAAATCTGTATTTAGTATGCCCCAGGTCCAGTTCTGACCCCTGAGTTTTAACCAGATGTAGACCTAGAGGCCCCCAGCACCACTGGGACCCAGCATTGCACCATCTGGTCTGGTTGGCTAAGTGTGGTCCCCATCCACATTCTTGCAGTATTATATGTGTGTATATATACTAATGGGTTGCCATTATATGTGTGTATATATACTAATGGGTTGCCAAGTGGATGTGAAATTTGTGCTAGTTCTTGAACTATTTTTGATACTCATGAATGTGAAGTCAAAGTCTTAAAGTAGACATGAATGTTAGAAAATGGTGGGAAGGCATTGCTAATCATGGTGGACAGTACCTCTTTGGGCTGTGACCCCCTTGGCACAGTGAGGAGAAACCATTAGGGTTAGTGGGTGCACCGAGAACATGAACCTGCCTGCACTGACCCTCACCCATGTGTCTCAGGTACTATCTCTTCTCCCTCATCATGAATTTGAGCCGGGATGCTTATGAAATCCGCCTGTTGATGGAACAAGAGTCTTCAGCTTGTAATCGGCGACAGAAGCTTTCCGGAGGAGGCACCCCAGGAGGGATTGAAACTGGGGGACCTGAGGGTACAGGAACTCCAGGAGGAGGCCTGCCCCAGCTCGCTCTGAAGCTTCAGTTCCAAATCCTGCTTCTGGCTCGGGTCCTCCGAGGTCACCCCCCACTTCTGCTGGACGTTATCAGAAATGCCTGTGATCTCTTCATTCCCCTGGACAAACTGGGCCTCTGGCACTGTGGCCCTGGGATTGTAGGGCTCTGCGGCCTAGTGTCCTCCATCCTCTCTCTTCTCACCCTGATCTACCCTTGGCTACGACTCAAGCCCTGAGATTCTCAGACCAGAGAAGGAGGGAATCTCTGAACTGGTGAGATGGACTTGTCGTTCATCCATCCCCAGTTTACCAGCTCCTTCCTCTACTCCTTAGTTAAAGTTAAAATTTAGAGATTCAGGAGCCAAGGGAGCCACTTTGGGGAGGATGACATGAAGAAAGGTATCTTAGGGTGATCCCAGTGTTCAGATCTGTCAGCCTTTCTTCTTTTCCTCCCTCATCATATTGTCTGTATCTCTTGGCTTTTTTCACTTTGTCTCTTAAGTCTAAGAATCTGTCTTTGCATCCCTTCCCCGCCCGCCCCACCCCCCAACTCCTCGCTGTCCTAGGAATTTGTCTAATCCTCAGAATTACTTTTTGCCAGATGAGGTGGAAGACTCTAACAGCTTTCTTTGTTCTCAGCAAAGGTGGCTCTGGCAGATTTTTTTATCTCCTTCAAATTCCATATCCTAAAGACTTTGTGTCCTAGTCCACTCTGTTTTGATGTCAGAGATGGTTTGATGCCTCTCTGGCTACTAGCCAGCTTCCCTGGTCACCTGGCCTGTCTTCCACTCTGAACAGCTGTAGGCTTCTTGTTCCCTAGTCTGTTTTCCCCCCTTTCCACCTCCCCAGAATGATGCTGTGTCTAGCATCTTGCTGTAAATACTGTACAGTGATTCTGTGTAAGTAACTGTGGCCTGTGTTTATGCTGGAGAGAAGTCTTCCAGGTCAGCGAATTAAAGATTCATTGACTCAATGTTTTGGTCTGCTCCTGTGTGTTGCTGTCACTGTGGTTTGGGTTGTCCATTCACCAGCCCCTGGTATCATCATTCACATTTAGTGGGCCCCTAGAGCCTGCAGGGTGTGTTACTAAGGCAGTAGAGACACCAAAATCAAAGAAACTCCATGATACTAAATTTAGGAGTGTATAGCCAAAGATAGAATATGGGATTTTTTTTTTTTTTAAGTTTGTTTTCACATCCAGATGTGATTAGGGGTTACTATTGGCTCTATACTCAGGGATCACTTCTCTTTTTTTCCCCCTTTTTTTGGGGGGGGGTCACACCCGGTGATGCACAGGAGTTACTCCTGGCTCATGTGCTGAGGAATTACTCTTGGTGGTGCTCGGGGGACCATATGGGATGCTGGGAATCGAACCTGGGTCGGCCATGTGCAAGGCGAACGCCCTACCCACTGTGCTATCGTTCCAGCCTCACAGGGATCACTTCTGACAATCCTCAGGGAACCATTAGGGTGCTAGAGATTGAACCCAGGTTGGCCATGTGCGAGGCAAACATCCTACCTCTCGCTCTGGCCCGTAGATTATGGGATGTGATGTTCTAGTAGATATATACACTGTGGGCTAGAGAGAGCTAAACAGGCTGTCACAAAGGTTTTGTGTGGAGGAGGGAAGAGTTTTGTGGCTCCCAGTGCCACGTGGTCCCCCAAGCATCACATGAAACAACCCCCAAGCACAGAACCAGGGGAAGCCTGAGCACTGCTGCGTGTGGTCCTTCCAAAATGGAGCAATAATGCAATGGGTAGGGTGCTTGCCCTGTATTCAGCTAACCCATGTTCAATCCTGGCACTCCATAAGGTCCCCCAAGCCCCACCAGGTGTGGTGCCTGAGTGCAGAGCTAGGAATAAGCCCTAAGCGGGGCAGGGGGGATGAGACAGATGTGTATGTACATACCCCACAGTAGTTAATAGTTTATCAGACGTACCTGCACTGGTTCTTCATCCCATCATCTATTGGTCCTCCCTGCCTCCATCTCATAATGGTACTATCTCCAGTGAGAGAGTACAGCAGGGAAAGTACTTATTTTCACGTGCCCCACCAGGGTTCAATCCCTGGCACAACATAGTCCCACCCAAGCACTCTTCAATTTCTGAGCCCAGAATGAACCCTGAATACTGCTGGATATGGTCCCACCCTTGAAAAAGACCAAACTTGGTTTGTAGGTAAGTTTTTTTGCTGGGGGGGGGTCACACCCAGCGATGCTCAGGGGTTACTCCTGGTTCTGCACTCAGGAACTACTCCTGGCAGTGCTCAGGGGACCATATGGGATGCTGGGAATCGAACCTGGGTTGGCTGTGCTGTCACTCCAGCCCCTGTAGGTAAGTTTTATCTTTATATGTTGGGACTCCAGAAGAGATGGGGGAGATGCAGCTGTTCCTTCATTTTTCATATCCTAAGTTAGATAAATAAGGTTAGGAAGGAGACTTGACCTCCAGTGCCTACCTTCTACTTCCAATTGGAGGGAAGCCTTTATTGCCTGGGCTGGACAAAGCAGAGGAAGGAAACCGGAGCAAGTCAAGAACAGTGTTAGCATGACGCCTGCAGGGGGCAGCAGCAGGGCAGGGAACTGGACTGAGATGGCTCGGAATTCCTTGGTCTGGGACTCCCCACAGCTCCCCAGCATCACCCCTCCCATTCCTTCCAACTTTATTTTTAGCTGCCAGTGGGAGGGGGCAGGATGGGAGGGAAAGTAAGAAAACAGAGAAGGAGAGGGACAGACCCAGAGGACTTCTCACTCGGACACAGCACCCCGGGCATGGCGCGCCCCCTCAGCCCTCACCTGTGCTTGCTGCTGCTGTTTCTGACAGGTGAGAGGGCTTCGCTTCTTGTTTCTGGTTCGAGTGAAAGAAGTTTGCGTTGTTGGCATGAGAACCTTTAGGGTGAAAAGTAATTGGGTGGGGATGTAGCTCAGTGGTAAAGAGTGACCTTGCCATATACGAGGTCCTGAGTTTGATACCAGGCATCAGAAAAAAAATTTGTTGGGTGCCAGAGAGATAGTACAGTGGGTAGAGTGCAAGTCTTGCACACAGCCAACCCAGGTTCAATCCTGCCACTACATATGGCCCCCCAAACTTGCCAGGAGTGGTCCCTAAGAACATTCAGAAGTGAGCCCTGAGCACAGCTGGGTGCGGCCAAAAAACAAAATTTTGGGGTTAGGGAATTCAGGTGAGTGTTTAACACAATTGTATGGTGTGTGTGTGTGTGTGTGTATGTGTGTGTGTATTGTGTGTGTGTTCATGTGTGCATGTACACTCAAGGTGGGTTGTGTTTGCTTTTTTTTTTTTTTTTTTGGTGGTTGTTATTTTGGGGGCTAGCTATGGCACTGGGGTGGAGGGAAATGCCCCTGGTGATGCTCTCCCCGGGGACTTTGTGGTACAGGGAATCAAACTCAGACCTCCAGGCCCCTTGCATGGTCAGTCCAGCCCGCGTTTGTGCTCTTATACCTGTATTACCACTTCAGTACTAACTGCGGCAACATCTTTGTTAATTTTATTTTATTTGCTTTATGGGTCACACCTGGCAATGCACAGGGGTTATTCCTGGCTCTGCACTCAGGAATTAACCCTGGCGGTGCACAGGGGACCATAATGGGATGCTGGGAATTGAACCCAGGTTGGCTGCGTACAAAGCAAACGCCCTACCTGCTGTGCTCTTGCTTCAGTCCGTGCAGCAACGACTTGTGTAAGATTTGTCTCTGGTCGCTAATGTCTTTGTCCTGTCCTGAGTGCTGGAGGAGTAGAGGGACTAACAGTAAACATGGCGTGACCTTCCACGTGGCTAGTCTGATCTCTAGTATCCTTCTCTATACCCTTGGTGGTCTCTGGGGCCAGAGGCATAGCTGAGCGTGTGATCAGAGCTCTGGGTTTATCTGACCAATGTGCTCCAGTCCATGTTCATAAGCCCTGCCAGTTTTCTGGCTACAAAAAGGCTCCCATACAGACACCTTTCTGAAAATGAGACGTTTGACACAGAGCTGAGGCCGTTGGCAGTGGTAGGGTGGAGTGCCTCAGAGGGGTGTGCTTTTAATGAAGGAGCGAGTGAAGGGTAAGCATCATGGAAAGACCAGAGACCAGGAATCTTTCCCTGCCTGTGCCCTATAATCTCCGTTTCCTAAAATACCAGCCCTGATTTGAAAAGGGTCAGGGCTGAATAACTGGGACATGGTCGGGGGGTGGACTAGAGGGTAAAAGAAGTTGAGCCGGCAGTCTAGGGGCAGTTGGAGAGGTGAATGAGTTAGAAAGGAAGTGGGTTGTGGGAAGTTGGGGTGAGGGGCATGTGGTAAGGATGGAGCAAACTCTGCGTAGGCAGGCCAGGGGGGTCCCACCCAGCTAATTACCATTGAGGTTTGGGGCTGGATTTGACCAGCGCCCCAAACACTGGTGAATGCATAAAGCACTAGGAGTAAGAAAGACGGACAGAGCAAGATGGGCAGTCCTGTAGCCTTTGCTTATTTTTCTCTGGCCCAGGGTTCTAGGGGAGAATTTGGTTGGAATTTTGGCATTTGGAAGAATTGTGCTGCAGCATGGTCCCCTCCTTCCTTTGACCTTCCTCTTGGAGAGGAGGCTGTGTAGGAGGAAGGATTTGGAAGAGAGAAACTTGACCCTTCCAGATGTATCTGTAAATGACATTGCAGGGGCGAGAATGGAAATACAGCTGTGCCCCAGCGTGGCTGAGGGCCCAGGCCAGACTGGATGCTGACACAGCAAGGAGATGATCCTTCTTGCAGCGCTGAGTCCATGGCACTGGCTGAGGCCAGGAGAGCTGATGTGGAAGAAGCAGGGTGCTAGCTGAGAGCTGAATCTCCTCCGGGGCTTCTCTGCTTGGCTCTCTGAGTGTCCTCTGCACTCTCAGACAGCCTCTAACGAACCTTCTGACCCGGCTCCCAGGTCTCTGCTCCTCCTTTAACCTGGACGTGCATCACCCACGCCTGTTTCCTGGGCCACCTGAGGCCGAGTTTGGATTCAGTGTCTTACAGCATGTTGGGGGTGGACAACGATGGTAAGGAGAGATTGAAAGTCATGGAACTGGATGGAGGGCCAAGCTACTAAGTGCGTGCCTTTCTGCCTCATGTGAGTGGGTGGGGGGCACACTTCCACCCCTGGCACTTTCTCTCTGGCCAGTGCCAAGGGTCCTGTTCACACTGTGCCTCCTCCCAGGATGCTGGTGGGTGCTCCCTGGGATGGGCCTTCAGGCAACCGGAGGGGAGACGTCTACCGATGCCTGATCGGAGGTGCCCACAATGCCCCATGTGTCAAGGGTCACTTAGGTAAGATGTCTTTCTCCACCATGCCTCAGTTCTGCTGCCATGCCATGCATGCACTCATGCTTTACCTTCTCTTAAATGCCTCGTCTCCAACTTGATCCTGATTCTTTCTCCTCCTCTTCCTCAAACCCCTCAATGCAAGTGCCCTCAACCTCCTTCTGACCAGGTGACTATCCACTGGGAAACTCATCTCGTCCTGCTCTGAATATGCACCTGGGGATGTCTCTACTAGAGACAGATGATGACGGTGGATTCATGGTGAGCTATGGAAGGCGGGACAGGAAGTAGTGGTGGCGTGTCCTCTGAAATCTGTAGTAGAGAGAAGACTAGGATGGTAATTGGGACTGGAGAGACAGTACAGCATTTAGGGCATTTGCCTTACATGTGGCCGACCCAGGTTCCATCCCCAGCACCACTTAGGGTCCCCTGAGTCCTTCCAGGAGTCATCCCTGAGTATAGAGTGAAGAGTAAACCCCGAGACAAACAAGAATAATATGGTCAGGTGGGGATGGGGGGTCAGGGGAAAGCCAGGAGGGGGGTCTCAGGGTCTCCTCCAGCTCAGCCTGTTCTGGAAGTGACTCTCTCTGCACCTTCCAGGCCTGTGCTCCTCTCTGGTCTCGTGCCTGCGGCTCCTCTGTCTTCAGTTCTGGGATTTGTTCCCGAGTAGATGCTTCATTCCGGCTCCAGGGAAGCCTCGCACCCACCGCACAACGTGAGCTGGAGCAGGGGCCTGGGAGAGGACTCAGACCCCAGCAGAGGGACTAGGGTGGGGAGGCAGGAGGCCACAGCAGGACCCTTGCGAGGGGCCTGCATGACTGTCCACACTGTTGCTGACCATGCCTGTGAAGCCCCTCAGTTGCAGCTGCCTGGTGTTAAGAGCAGACTGCTCTTACCAGGGACAGAGACAAAGCCGAGGCTTAAGGCTCTTGCCTGCCACGTGGCTGACCTACTTGATTCCCAACACCACTGAGAATGACCCTGAACACAAAGCCGGGAGTAGCCCCCAAGCACAGCTGCTGTGGCACAACTCCCTCCTCCAATCAACCCTCCTCCCTGCAAAAAAAAGAGGAAGACTCTTCTAGGGTGTCAAGACTCTATGATCTAGGGAGCATACAACTGATTTGGGTTCATTTCCTGGCATCATAGGGGCCCCCTGTGCCCCTTAGGAGTGATCTCTGAGTGCAGATTCAGGAGTAAACCACAGCTGGGTGTGGCCTCCAAACAAAACAAAAAGACAAAAAAAAATAGAAGATTCAATAATCTAATCTAAGCAGCTTCACAAACCCAGCTCCTTCCATGTCTTGAGCCTTGGCCATAGCATTCATTCTCCTCCTCATTCTACCACATGACCTTTGTTTGTCTACCTCCATCTTCTTCAGTTTTGTTGTTCTGGTTTTGGTGTTGGGTTTGGGTTCACACCCAGTGATGATCCAGGATTTCTCCTGGATCTGCACTCAAGAATTACTCCTGACAATGCTTGGGGGACCATATGGGATGCCAGAGATTGGATTCAGGTTAGCCACATTTCTTTTTTCATTCATCAGATTGTTTATTTTTAAAAAATTTTTATTAGTGAAACACCATGAGGTACAGTTGTAGACTTATAAATTTTTGTGCTTGGGTTTCAGTTATACAATGATCGAGTACCCATCCCTCCACCAGTGCCCATTCTCCACCACCAATGATCCCATTATCCCTCCCACCCCCCCCATCCCACCCCATTCCACCCTGCCTCTGTGGAAGGGGATTCCCTTTTGTTCTCTCTCTCCTTTTGGGTGCTGTGGTTTGCAAAAGAGACATTGGGTGGCATCGGTCTATAGTCTACTTCTAGCATGCATCTCCCATCTTGGGAGGATCCTTCCAACACCCTTTATTTGGTGCTCCCTTCTCTATCTGAGCTGCCTTTTCCCCTAGCATGTGCGGCTGGCCTCCATGGAGTAAACTTCCTGGTACTTATCTCAGCTATTCTTGGGTGTTAGTCTCCTATTTTGTTATTTTATGTTCCCCAGATGAATGTAATCTTTCTATGTCTGTCCCTCTCTTTCTGACTCATTTCACTTAGCATGATACTTTTCATGTAGTACCACTTGTATGTAAATTTCATGATTTCATCTTTTCTAACAGCTACGTAGTACTCCATTGTGTAGATGTACCAAAGTTTCTTTAACCAGTCATCTGTTCTCAGGCACTCAGGTTTTTTCCAGATTTTGAGGTTAGCCACATTTTTGTTTTTAATTTTATTGGATCAACGTGAAATAGTTACAAGCTTTCATGTTTGAGTTACAATCACACAATGATCAAACACCCTTCCCTCCACCAGTGTACATTCCCCACCACCAATATCCCCAGTATAGCCCCCCCCTTCCCCACCCTCCCCCTGCCTCCGTGGCAGACAATATTTCCCATACTCTCTCTCTACTTTTGGGCATTATGGTTTGCAAAGCAGACACTGAGAGGTCATCATGTTTGGTCCATTATCTACTTTCAACACAAATCTCCCATTCCGACCGATTCCTCCAGCCATCATTTTCTTAGTGATCCCTTCTCTATTCCAGCTGCCTTCTCCCCTCTGTTCATGAGGCAGGCTTCTAGCTAAGAAGCAGTCCTCCTGGCCCTTGTATCTACTGTCCTTGGGTGTCAGTCTCATGTTATGTTCTTTTATACTCCACAATTGAGTGCAGTCCTTCTACATCTGCCCCTCTCTTTCTGACTCATTTCACTTAACATGATACTCTTCATGTCTATCCACTTATAAGCAAATTTCATGACTTCATCTCTCCTAACAGCCTTATAGTATTCCATTAGGTCAGCCACATTCAATGCAAATGCCCTCCCTGCTGTCCTCTCGCTCTGTCCCCACTCTCCTGTTTAAATAGCTTTATAGGCCAGGATAGTTCAGTGGGTTCATATGTGCATACTTCGCATGCCAGAAGCCTGGATTAGATCTTCCCATGGCACCAAGAGGCCCCCAAGCAGTATCAGGAGCACCCCAAACCAGCCAGGAGCAGCCACCGATGTGGCCCCCCCCCCCCATTTTTTGAAGTATTTTTATCCAGAGGTCTCTATTCTCCTCTCTTTAAACATGCTCTGTCTTCAGTGCTTCTCAGTTGCTGCCTCCTTTGGCCCCACCTTCACAACAGATTCTCTTTCATTCTCCCACAGCATAAAGATGTCTGTGTTTCTACTTAGCACTGATTTTTTTTCTTCTTCTTTACTTTATATGGTTTGGTTTTTAGCTTTTTTGGCCACACCCAGAGGTGCTCAGGGATCACTCCTGGCAGACCCACAGATGCAAAGAATCAAACCCAGGTCATCTGCGTGCGAGGCAGCTGTCTTGCCCCTGTCCTGTCTTTCTCCTACCTGTTTTGTTTTGTTTTGGGGGCTGTGCCTAACAGTGCTTAGGGGCTACTCCCCGGGCTAAGGCCGGCTCCCAGTAAGAAAAACAAACACACTAGCACTTGGAACTCTCCCTGCCTCTTCTTTGCTCTTCCGAAGGTAAATCAGACATATAACTATCCCCGGGCTGGAGTGATAGCACAGCGGGTAGGGCATTTGTCTTGTACGCACCCAACATGGCTAACCCGAGTTCGATTCCTCCACCCCTCTCAGAGAGCCTGGCAAGCTACTGAGTATCTCGCGGGCACAGCAAAGCCTGGCAAGCTACTCGTGACCTATTCTGTATGCCAAACACAGTAACAACAAAGTCTCACAATGGAGACATTACTGGGCCCGCTCAAGAAAATCGGTGAGCAATGGGAGGACAGTGACAGTGACAGTGACAGTAACAGTGACCTATTCCTCTGATTTCTTTCCACACTTACCCAGAGACTGGCACACTTACTTTGATAGAAAGAAATACCTAACCCGTGTTTGTATCCAGCATATTCTCCCAGAAACCCTTCTGCCCTGGTCCCTTTGCCACCTTCCCCATCACTACGCCCCTCCCTCCAGGCTGCCCCACATACATGGATGTAGTGATTGTCCTGGATGGCTCCAACAGCATCTACCCCTGGTCTGAGGTCCAGACCTTCCTTCGAAGACTGGTAGGGAGACTGTTCATTGACCCGGAGCAAATACAGGTAAGAGGAGGCACTCCTGGGGCCAGGGAGAATTGGAGTGTCACGACGGAGGCCTTGTTCAATGTCCAGCTCCACATGGCTCCTGGACCCCCACCAGAAGCACCATCCCCAGCCAGCACAGAATCAGGAGTAGCAAACCCTGAGCATTGCCAGGTGTTTCTCCCTCCCCATCCCTAAACCAAATGAAAGAACTTGAGGTGGAGCCAGAAGTCCAGAGGGCAATTTGGGCTAGACCTAGTGCACCCCACCTGGGTTAAGTTCTTGGCACCACATGGACCCTAAGCATCACCAGCAGCAGTCTGAGAGGCTCCTGGGACCTTAGGGACAGCTTGGATACCCCAACACTGCAGGGCCTGAGCAGCACCACATCCTCAGGTCCTTGCATTGAACCAACAGCCGATTGACTGAGAGTTAGTGGTAGGCCTGGGCTTCCCCGAGGGCCCCTGGGAATCATTCACAAAACACCGACATGTGCAGAGCCCCTAAAATACTGAGAAAAAAAAAAAAGAAGAGTGTGGAGGGCAGAACGGAAGAGGCAGGAGAGAGGAGACAAAAATAGCATCAATGCAGATGGTGCCCCTTGTTGGCTCCCCCTGCATGCCTCACCTCTGTGATTCATGCCCCGTTCACAGGTGGGGCTGGTCCAGTACGGGGAGAGACCTGTGCACGAGTGGTCTCTGGGGAATTTCCGGACTAAGGCCGAGGTGGTCAGGGCAGCCAGGAACCTGAGTCGGCGCGAGGGACGAGAAACCAAGACAGCACAGGCAGTACTGGAGGCCTGGTGAGGACACGGGGTGGGGGCGGGGCAGGGAGGGTCGGGCAACACGGGAGTCCTGCATGCTTATTGCCACCTGCATGTTGTTAGCCCTCATAGGATGGTACCAAGTGTCCACTTTTGTGGCTTCCTGTGCTTCTGCCTTGTTTATCGTTACAGAGAGAAACACTCTCCTGTCTCTCTTGCTCTGTTCCCCCCCCACTTCTCTCTCTCTCTCTCTCTCTCTCCCTCTCTCTCTTTGATTTTGTACTACACCCAACAGTGCTCAGGGCTTATTCCTGGCTCTGTACTCAGGGATCACTCCTAGCAGGCTCGAGGGACCATATGCAGTGCCGGGAAATCGAACCCTGGTCAGCCGCATGCAAGACAAGAGCCTTCCGCACTGCATTATCTCTCTGGCTTCTCTGGCTCCCTCTGTTTCTGTTTCCCTCTCTCTTTCTCACTGTCTCTGTCTCTCTCTGCTTCCCCTTTGGTCTCAGTCTGCACTTCACTTCCCACACATGAACCGGGCCATTGTCCTTCCTTCCATATTTCTTTGATATTTGTTCTCTCAGAGGCAACCCCTGCTGGCTGGGTTTTGCACGTGTTGTCACTGAGACGATGCCGTCCATGTGTCCCATTCTGACATCTGGGCTTTCACTGTGCCAATCTCCAAGCTGGACAGAGCAGAAGAGGGGCTGGGAGGGGGCATGTCATGGGGGCACCATGCATGCTGAGCGCTGGCGCTCTTGTCTCCGAGCTCTGAGCACCACCAACCCTTCTCCTCTCAGCACAGAAGGGTTCAGTGAGTCCCGTGGGGGGCGGCCAGAGGCTGCCAGGCTGCTGGTGGTCGTCACTGATGGAGAATCACATGACGGAGAGGAGCTGCCCGCGGCACTGCAGGCCTGTGAAGCAGGCAGGGTGACGCGCTATGGGATTGCGGTGAGCACCTGAGTGGGATCTGGCAGCGGCTGGGTTGAAGAGCAGGAGGGACACCAGCTCCGTGCCTTGCTTGGTGCGGGCTGGCTGTGCCCCACTGCGCTGACAGCACCCTCCACCCTGCACCCAGGTCCTGGGTCACTACCTCCGGCGGCAGCGAGACCCCAGCTCTTTCCTCCGTGAGATCCGAGCGATTGCCAGTGACCCTGATGAGAAATTCTTTTTCAATGTCACGGATGAAGCGGCTCTAACAGACATTGTGGATGCCCTGGGAGACCGGATTTTTGGCCTGGAAGGTGAGGATGGACTCTGGAGACAGCACTGGGGGAAGGGCAGGGCCAGACAGTGATGGCTGTCCCTGACATTTCCACCACTTCTCCCGTGCCCCAGGATCCCGTGAAAAGAATGAAAGCTCCTTCGGGCTGGAGATGTCTCAGATTGGTTTCTCCACTCATCGACTCAAGGTTGGAACAGACATGGCCCCTGGCACCTCTGACTCCTCCCAGCCCCCATTCAGTCAGTTCCCAGGGCCATTCTCCAAGACCGTCTCTGACCAACATCCACGCTAACCTCCCAGGCCAGCCCTTGTGACCCCTCCCGGGGCATCTCCCCTGCCTCCTCACTGCCCACTCAGCAATTCCTTTTGCCTCTCCCCATAGGATGGAATTCTCTTTGGCATGGTGGGGGCCTACGACTGGGGGGGCTCGGTGCTGTGGCTCGAAGGAGAGCACCACCTGTCCCCCCCACAGGCGGCACTAGAAGAGGAATTTCCTGCTGCTCTGCAGAACCACGCGGCCTATTTGGGTGAGCCGTGGGGCAGGGAGGGCGGGGCGAAGGGCTGGTGGGGCAGGTGACTCTCCTGATGACCCCCCCACCATGACTCTTCTTTGTGACCCGGTTCCTGATAACGTCAGGTTACTCCGTGTCCTCCATGCTCCTGCGGGGGGGACGCCGCCTCTTCCTGGCTGGGGCTCCTCGTTTTGAACACCGAGGAAAGGTCATCGCCTTCCAGCTAAAGAGAGACGGGGCCATGCGTGTGGCCCAGAGCCTTGAGGGGGAGCAGGTAGGGCACCCAGCAAGGCAAGATCCAGGTTAGAGGGGCCACTGGGGGTGCGGAGAGACTGAGGGGGCCAAAGTGACCAGAAAGTTCTGTGCTGGATCCTGGTTCAGGGCCTATCATGGGGGAACACTGCACATGTCTGTCCACACCACCTTCCAGCTGTTCACAACACTTTCGGTCTGCACACAGACCATTCTTTCGTCCATACCTCTTTCCATCCATCCACATATCTATCCATACCTCCATCTATCCATACCACCTTCCATCCATCCATCCATCCCACCTTCCATCCATTCATCCCACCTTCCATCCATTTATCCCATCTTTCAATCATCCACACCACTTTCTATCCATCCATGCTGCCTTTCATATGTCCTTACCTCCTTCTATCCATTCACACCACCGTCCATCTATCCACACACCTGTCCATACCATCTTCCACCCACCCATACCAACTTCTATCTGTCCACACACCTTCTGCCTGTCTACCACACACATCAGTCCATACTACCTTCCATCTGTCCCTACTGCCTTCCCTTCCTCTGGGTGACCGCTCCTCATGACTTCCCAGATTGGCTCCTACTTTGGCAGTGAGCTCTGCCCCCTGGACATGGAGGGGGACGGAACTACCGACGTCCTGCTGGTGGCTGCCCCCATGTTCCTGGGGCCCCAGAGCAAGGAGACAGGCCGAGTCTATGTGTATCTGGTGGGCCAGGTGAGACTTGCTGGGACCCCGAGAACTTGTTTGTGAAGGGCAGTGCACTGCATGTGTTGACGTGGTGAGGGTGGCTCCCAACATGGCCCCTGGCCTCTCCTTCCTGCCCACAGCAGCCCCTGCTGACGCTCCAGGCCGTACTGCAGCCAGAACCCCCTCAAGACGCCCGCTTTGGCTTCGCTATGGCTGCCCTCCCGGACCTCAACCAGGACGGCTTTATAGATGTGGCTGTGGGGGCGCCCCTGGAGGACGGGCACCGTGGGGCTCTCTATCTTTATCATGGGGTCCAGCGCGGAGTAGGGGCACGGCCCGCCCAGGTCAGCAGGAAAGCCGGGCTGGCGGGAACAGGGAGGGAATGGCCACTGCACCTTGCTCCTCAGTGGTTTCCCTGAGTTTGAGACCTGGACTAAACAAATACATGTTTTGGGTTTTTATTTTTTCTTTTCGGGTTACACCTGGCGATGCACAGGGGTTACTCCTGGCTCATGCACTCAGGAATTACTCCTGGCGGTGCTTGGGGGAACCATATGGGATGCTGGGAACTGAACCCAGGTTGGCCGCATGCAAGGCAAGTGCCCTATCCACTGTACTATCAGCCCCATGTTTTTGTTTTTTAACTTTATTTTTGACTGGTAGCCTGAAAGTTGAGGTGGTGAGGGGGGAATCCTGAAGACGGGCAGATGTCTCTCGCTCTCTCTCCTGTGCCTGGCAGAAACATCCCCTGGAGGGATCCTTGAGCATGGAACCAGGAGTAAGCCTTGAGCAGCACTGAGCGTGACCAAAAAAGAATCAAAAAGGAAGAAGGAAGAAAGAGCCAGAAGCTAGAAAGGTGGGTTCTGCACCTTCCTCACTCTTCCCGCTCCTCTCCACAGCGGATCGCAGCCATCTCCATGCCATGGGCCCTCAGCTACTTCGGTCGCAGTGTGGATGGTCGACTGGACCTGGATGGAGATGATCTGGTCGATGTGGCCGTGGGAGCACACGGGGCAGCTGTCCTGCTCAGGTGAGGGTCTAAATCCAGAGAGCTGCGAGCAGCGTGCAGAGCAGGGAAATGCCAGGGCACTGGGCCCGCATTCTAGGACAGTGCTCCAGGCCACTGATTCCTGTGCAGGCCTGGCCTCACTAGCTTACAATTGGCTCCTGTGGATTAAGTACCATAAGCTGCTGCTGCTGCTGCTGCTGCTGCTGCTGCTGCTGCTGCTGCTGCTGCTGCTGCTGCTGCTGCTGCTGCTGGGCTGCTCCTCCTCCTCCTCCTCCTTTTCCTCCTCCTCCTCCTCCTCCTCCTCTTCCTCCTCCTTCTCCCCTCCCCTCTTCTTTACTCTTTCTTCTTTCTTCTTTTTTTATTTTTGGGCCACATAAGTGATACCCAAGGCTTCTCCTGGCTCTGCACTCAGGAATTACACCTGGCAGTGTTTGAAGGACCATATGGGATACTGGGGACCAAACCCGGGCCATCCCAGGTTCATGCAAGGCAAGCAGGCAACCTCCCACTGTACTATCTCTCCAGACCCTATTCTTATACTTCTGGGGAGAGTGAGCAGAAGCACATAGCCCCTGACCCACTCCTTCAGCCTCAGAGAGGCACACACCGGGACTGACCTTAAACCACTTTCTGACCTTCTGCTGGACTTTCCTTCCCTCTGCCCAGTTCCCGGCCCATTGTCCGCCTGGCTCCTTCGTTGCGTGTGAGTCCATCAGACATCAGCGTGGTCCAGCGGGACTGCAGGCGGCGGGGTCAGGACGCAGCCTGCCTTTCCGCAGAGCTTTGCTTCCAGGCAACATCCAGCACCCCAGGCCGCTGGGACCGGCGATTCTGTGAGTGTCCAAAGCACATTAGCCCCTGGCCTGCCTGTCTGATACCCCCCTCCATGCTCTCTCTCTCTCTCTCTCTCTCTCTCTCTGTCTCACCCCCTCCCCGCTGCCTGCCCAGATGTGCAATTCACAGCATCACTGGATGAATGGACAGTTGGGGTGCGCGCGGCCTTCGACGGCTCTGGCCAGAGGCTGTCCCCACGGAGACTCCGGCTCATTGTGGGAAATGTCACTTGTGAGCAGCTGCACTTCCATGTGCTGGTGAGGAGGATGCAGGAAAGCCTGGCACCCTGGGAAGAAGGGATAGCTCAGTCGAGGAGTGTCCTCTGGGCTGGCAAGAAAATCAAAGGCAGGAAGAAAGTCTCCTGCAGGCTTGAACCCAAGCCCTGCCAGTTACCATATATGTAATCCATGATACATGTATGATGTTATGATTCATATAGAGCCTATCTATGTATATAGCCTATTGTGCATATGATACACAACCTCTATATGTAATGATGTATAACCTATATACGTATATAAGGTAGTATGTATATGTCACTGTCACTGTCACTGTCCTCCCATTGTTCATCCATTTGCTCGTATGGACCCAGTAACATTGTGAGACTTGTTACTGTGTTTGGCATATCGAATACGTCACGGGTAGTTTGCCAGGCTTTGCTGTGCGGGCGAAATACTCTCGGTAGCTTGCCGGGCTCTCTGAGAGGGGCGGAGGAATAGAACTCAGGTCGGCCATGTTGGCCGCATGCAAGGCAGATGCCCTTCCTGCTGTGCTATCTCTCCAGGGCTGTCTGTATATGTATGCTATATGTGTGTGTGTGTATGATATAGAGCCTATACATATACATGATGGGGTAGAGCGATAGCACAGCGGGTAGGGCATTTGCCTTGAACGCGGTCAACCTGGCCGACCCGAGTTTGATTCCTCCGCCTTCAATTCCTCTGCCCCTCTTGGAGAGCCCAGCAAGCTACTGAGAGTATCTCGCCTGCACAGCAAAGCCTGGTAAGCTACCCATGATGTATTTGATATGCCCAACACAGTAACAAGTCTCACAATGTCTCACAATCGATGAACAACGGGAGGACAGTGACAGTGACATATACATGATGTAGATGTCATATGACATATACATGTCGATGACATATACATGATGTAGAATTCCTAACTCTATGCTGCACCATCTGCAAACTTTAGTTTTCTTGCCCACAAGGGGAAATGATAAGATGACCACATCATAGGGACTGTGATGGGATTCGGTGGGGCTGACAGAGCCTTAGAACAGTTCATGGCACACAGGAATCACCTGGTGGTGTGATCACTGTCATGGCAATGTTCTGGGTAGGGAGGAGACTGGGGGTCCTGGGTGCTCCCACACCTGGCTCCCAGTGACCTTTGACCCCGCTTCTCTCAGGACACATCTGACTACCTCCGGCCAGTGGCCTTGACTGTCAACTTTGCTCTAGACAACACCACCAAGCCGGGACCAGTGCTGGACCAGGGCTCGGTCACATCTGTGCGAAAGCTGGTCAGCAGAACCACATCCTGATGCCTTCTCCAGGAGAGAGGGAGGGTGGCGTTGCAGGGGCTCAGTGGGAAGTGCCAGCATGCGTGCTGAGGGTCCATCTGGGCAGGGAGGGAGGAAGGAGGGGCGTGGCAGGGTCTGATGGGCCCCAAACAGCTGCTACTGCCTCTCCTGTTCCATTCCATCACTCTTGATCTCCTCTTGGCCCTCAGCCTATTCTCTGTCTCCCAGATCCCTTTCTCCAAGGACTGTGGCCCTGACAATGAGTGTGTCACTGACCTGGTGCTGCATGCTGTTATGGACATCAGAGGCTCCAGGTGGGATGGACAAGGACTGGTCAGAGCAGAGGGACCTGTGACCAGAGGGGACTTGAAGGAAGCTGTGGGGTGGGGAGCTCTCTCTATAACCAGAAGTGATACACGGGCACTCCCCAACTCCTGAGACACCGCCCCCCACCATATGCCACTCCTAGGAATGCCCCCTATGTGGTCCGCGCTGGGCGGCAGAAGGTGCTGGTGACAGCAACTCTGGAGAACAGGCAGGAAAATGCCTATAACACCAGCCTGAGTCTCAGCTTCTCCAGGAACCTCCACCTGGCCAGTCTCAGCCCTCAGGTGCGAGGGGCATTTTATGGGAGGAGTTTCGGTCCCACATATGCACATCCTTCTCTTTCACACGTCTTCCTTTCTACCTCCAGGGCTTTGCTGGATCCTGGGATGGGAGCGGGATGAGGGGAGGTGGACATGGCATAACACCTGGGGGTGGTGGCAGTATGGAGGGACTGCCTGGACCCAGCCTCCCCCCACTCCTCCTCTCAGAGGGATGCTGGTGGCACCATGAAGGTGGAATGTACAGCCCCAGCCTCACACACCCGGCTCTGCAGCGTGGGGCACCCCGTCTTCCAGACCGGAGCCAAGGTGTGTGGGCTCAGGATGAGGGCATAGCCAGGGAGCTCGGGGGAGGTATCTTGGAGTGACCTCAGGACGTGGCTCTGTCCCTGACCCCACACCAGGTGACCCTCTTGCTGGAGTTTGAGTTCAGCTGTTCCTCCATCCTGCGCCAGGTCCTGGTGAGGCTGAGTGTCACCAGGTGGGGACAGAGGGACCCTGCCCCAGCCCTCTCCTGCCCGGTCTGGTTTGGGGGTGGAGGCAGTGGGCCACAGGGTGAAGAGGAAGCTCTGCTTGAGAGAGGGGTGCCAAGATGGGAGAGCTGTGAGTCTCCCCCAAACCCACAGCAACAGCCTGGAGAGGAATGAGAGCCTGTGGGACAACACAGCACAGACCATGGCCCATGTCCAGTATGAGCCGCACCTCCTGTTCTCCAGGTCAGCCCTGCAGGGACCCCCTCATCCGCACTTGAGCTCTGCTTCTTCCCTCTCTTCCTTGTGTTCTCATATACACACACTCCTCAAATCTTGAAGTCTTCTCCTTGCGCTCCTTCTCCTCATCCTCTTTTGAGCTCACCCAGAAGTGCTCAGGACTTACTTCTGCTCAGCACTCAATAATCTCTTCTGCTGATGCTGGGGGGTGGGGAGCGAGGGACCATATGGGATGCCAGAAATCAAACCCAGGCCAGCCCCTTGCAAGGCAAATACCCTGCCCACTGGTCTAGTTCTCCAGCCCCTCCTTCTTTTTTCTCATTTTTCTTTTATAACACCATGATTTCCCAAGTTGTTTATAAAACAATTGTTTCAGACATTCAGTGTTCTAACACCAATCCAACCACCTGTGTGACCTTCCCTCCAGTGCCTTTATTTTACTTTCACCTTCAGTCCCACATGGGTATACCCTTCTCTTTCACACATCCTCCAGAGCTTTGCTGGATCCTGGGATGGGAGTGGGATGAGGGGAGGGTTGGACATGGCATAACACTTGTTCACACCCTCCTCTTTTCTCTTCACCCACCTGCTGGCCCGTCCTCCCCTGACCCCTGTACTCACCGGGGCCGGTGTCTGCACTGTGCCTGGCCACACAGTGAGTCCACGCTGCACCGCTATGAAGTTCAGCCCTATGGGAGCCTTCCAGTGGATCCTGGCCCTGAATTCAAGACCACACTCAGGGTGAGAAGGAGGGAGAGATGGGCATAACAGGGACGGGAGCACTGACAGGCCACAGGAGGACCTCTGGGGCCTCAGAGAGGATGCCCTCCCTCACTAGTTCTGTCTCCAACCCTCAGGTTCAGAACCTGGGCTGTTACGCAGTTCATGGCCTCATCATCTCTGCGCTTCTTCCCGCTGTGGCCCACGGGGGCAGTTACTTCCTCTCCCTATCTCAAGTCATCGCTCACAATGTGAGTCCTGGTGGATTGAGGCATGGGGCCCAGCCGATGGAATCAAGTGCATTTCTCAAAGTTCTGCCCTTCCTGTCCTCTCTGCTGGGCCACTGCCCTCAGGCACATCCCCTGGAGACCATCTTAGACACTTGTGGCCCCTTTGAACTAAGGGAAGGGGCTTCCCAGGAAAGAACCCTCAGAGCACAGGTGGAATGTTCCAGCTCAGCTCAGGGCAGCTGGCCTCTGGCCACTAAGAGAGCTTCTCAAATTGGATCTCCCTCTAGCTGTTGCTTGTCTGAGTTCAGTCTCATAGCTGAATAGAATCCTTTCTATTAAAAAAAATCTCTAGAACTCAGGGGCTAGAACTATTGTACAGCAAGTAGGGCGCATGGACAATCAGGGTTCAATCCCTGGCATCCCATATATAGTTCCCTGAGCACCACCAAGAGTAATTCCTGAGTGCAGAGTCAGGAATAACCCCTGAGCATTGCTCCTCAAATTGGATCTCCCTCCAGGCCAGCTGCACAGTGCACAACCTGACCAGCCCCACAGAGCCCCCCATTCATCCAGAGGAGCTTCAGCATACAAGCAGGCTGGTAGGAGCCACAGGGTGGGAATGGGTAGGAGAGGGACCAGGCTGGTGGCCTGCGGGGCGGGATTCTCCACTCCAGGGGCCTGATATCTCTTCCTCCGTGGCAGAATGAGAGCAACACTCGGTGTCAGGTGGTGCGCTGCCAGCTGGGGCACTTGGCAAAGGGGACCGACATCGCTGTGGGACTGCTGAGGCTGGTTCACAATGAGTTTTTCCGGAGGGTAAAAATTTTACGCTTCCCCATTTGCCCTCATCTGGAGCCTGTAGCATAGAATTCGGAATTAGATAGACCTCTGGGACCGGAGAGGTGCCTTTGATTCCCTAGGCTCTGCCTGTCATCCCCAGCCCCACAGGGCCCCCGAGTTCCACTGGGAGCAATCCCCAAACACAGAGGCCAGAGTACTTCAGGGTGTAAGAGCAGAGCTGTACCTTACTCACTGGAGGACCTCAAGCATCTCATATGGCTCATCTCTATTAACTGTTATTTCCCCTCATCTCTAATTGGGGAAGAGTGAAGCTGCAAAGATCCTTAGCACGCCAAGTACATGCTTTGCATGCAGGAGGCCCAGGTTTGATCCCTCACATCACATGGTCCTCTGAGCACTGCTGGGAGTAATCCACAAACACATCCTGTGAGGAGCCCTCAAGTACCATCAGAACAACAACAAAAATTTTTTAATATTTTTAAATAAAAATGAAAATAGGGGCTGAAGAGGTAGTACAGTGGGTAAGGCACTTGCCTTGCAAGTGGCCAACCTGGGTTCTATCCTCAGCATCCCGTATGGTCCCCTGAGCACTGCCAGGAGTGATTCCTGAACGTAGAGCCAGAGTAAGCCCTGATCGCACTGAATGTGGCCCAAAAACAAATAAATAAGCAAACCCAGAGTGTAGAGGGAAGTGCAATATTGATCCCTACAACTGGATGACTATGATGATGACCTTTAACTGCTCTTGAATCCTCACTATCATCCATGTCAAGTTCCATTTCCTCCCACCCACATGTTCCTCAGGCCAAATTCAAATCTCTGATGGTGGTCAGCACCTTTGAGCTGGGAGTCGAAGAAGGCAGTGTTCTACAAATGGCCGAAACCGCCCGTTGGAGTGAGGTGGGACTGGAGGCTGATTGCGAGTGCAGGAAAGAGTGAGGTGGAGAGGAGACAAGGCATCTCTGGGGTTTCTCAGAGCAGAAGCATCCTTGGTAGGCAGCAGCTGGTGATTCAGACATGACAGAGCAGGGCCCACATGGAGGCAGGTGTGACAGCCTGGGAGAAGGAGGAAGAGAAGAGGGAGGGGAACAGGAAGGAGGAAGAGGAAGAGGAGGAGGAGGAGGAGGAAGAGAAAAAAGAATAAGAGGAAATGAGAAAAGAAAGGACAAATCGTTGTGTCGGGGTTCTATTACAGCCTCCATGGCCACCTCAGTTGTATTGCTTTTATTCTTCCTTTTTAAGGCTGTATTTGCCCAAATGTGGGCTAATGGGTTAAAATTAAACCAACTCTGCTGGGCTGGAGGATAGGATAGGGGTAAAATGCTTGCCTTGTGTGCAGTCAACCCTAGGTCAATCCCTGACACCCCATAAGGCCCCTGGAGCATGGAGTTGGAGTAGTCTCAGAGGAGGCATGTGTCACAAAAGAACCAAAAAGAAGAAACCAAATGAACCCACTCTAATTCTCCCAGAGTCTCCTGGAGGTGATCCAGACCCATCCTGTCTTCATCTCACTGTGGATCCTCCTTGGCAGTGCACTGGCTGGGCTGCTGCTGCTGACCCTTCTCGTCTTCTGCCTTTGGAGGGTAAGAACTGCTTTCCCCGGAGTGTGGGCCAGGGTGCCCATGGGCTAGGGGACTCCACGATGAGCGCTGAAGGACAAGGGCCTGTGCTGGGCAGCTAAGCAGTGGGGATCATGCCTGGGCCGCCTCCACTGCACGCCACAAATAAGGGCTAGACGGATCTAAGCCAAATAAAATAAATTTGAGTCTCACTTTGGAAGCAGAACAAACGTGAAGACTTCAGAGGCATCGGAGGGCTCTTGGCGGTGACCCCAGACTGGGCACTTGTCAATGGCGCTTATCTCTTCTTCTGCAGCTTGGCTTCTTTGCCCGTAAGAAAATCCCTGAAGAAGGAGAAGAGAAAGTAGAGCAATGAATGTAGAAAAAAGCCCAAGCGTGTCCTCTGGCAGCGTCTCCAAAAGATGGGCTCAGCAGTCTGGGGGCACAGAGGGGAGGCAGAGGAGCCCAGACTGTCTCCCCAGATCTCAGCCTGACTTGTGTTTGAGCGGTGGGGTAGCTGCGGGTTTGGGGGAGGTCCGACTACCCAGGCCTGCACCTGCACCAGGAGCCCTGCTCCCCATGGCTGCCCACCTCGGGGTCCTGGTGCTTCAGCCAGCACAGGGACTTGCTCTGGGACCCCATTCTCCTATTCCTGGGAGTCAGAAACTCTTTGCTTTGGTCCTCAACTCCATCAGATTCCTTCTGTCCTCCTTCTTGGTTTGAAAAGGCCGTGGGTCATCGCCCTCTGTTCCCGCCTCTGCCTCTCACCTCTCCATCTGAAGCCAGGAGGCAGCTGGCCTGAGGGAAGTAAAGTCAACATGTGCGGCCTTCCTGTGGAGTCGGGTGATTCAGAGCAGATGGGGGCGCGTCAACAGGAAAAAGGAGGGAGGCCGGCAAAGCCGCAGGAGACATTCTGTACAATTCCAAGGAACAGAGGAGCCTTTAGACAGGCAACTGCCATCCCCTGAAACCCGAGAGCTGGTGGTGTGCCCGGCCCGCCCTCAGGTGCTGGAAACAGAGCTGCCCTAGACCCACTGGCCCCGGGTTCTCCCTCCCCGCAGGGGCCTTCCCCGGCCAAGCCCGTGGGCACGTTGTGCTCGGGTACCAGAGGCCCTCAGGCGGCCTGCGCTGGAACTGCCACCAAGAAGGCTGCCCTGCCAGTGTTCTTTGCCCACAGGGCAGGCCCAGAGTCCTTCTAGAAACTAGAGGGAAGGGAGTAGCTGCCGGTGCTAGGAAACGCCCCTCGCTTGCCCTGAGTGGCACCAGTGGAGCATGCAGGAATAGGGGGTAGCAGGCAAAATGAGTGACAGGAAGTCACTAGAGGGATGGTCAATCTTAACTGTGGTTGCACAGTGCAGTAGACTCTGAGGAGATTGTTTCCAGGGCAACCCCGGCCATCCGTGGTCAGTTTCTCCATGGAGGCTGCTCAACACATATCATCTGGGGTGTGCCAAGAATTTCCATCTGAATTTCTGTCACTGGATCACCACCACCCACTACCACCCCTGCTCCTACGACTCTTTTTGGTTATAGTCATAGTAAGAGGTGTCCTTCAAACAAGATTTTGGATACCCAGGTCACCTACTGGTCTCTGGATGCAGCTTGAATGACCATGTGAAGGACCAGCACACATTTAGAGATGAGAAGCAAGGATCCCTGCCTGGCAGCTACTTCCTGTGGGCTACTCGGGAGCCACGGTGTGAGTGTTGGCATTGTTCTGGTCCTTCACAGAGGGCTCAGTCTCTGATTCAAGCAGGGTATGCCACATGTCTGATGGATGGACAGAATGAATAAAGCTGGTATCTGATGACTTCTGGCCTCATTTGAATTTCCTAGCATAAGGGCAGTAGCCCAGGAATGGAGTTGGGTGGCGGGGAGGTGGTTTGTGGCTCACCTGTCATCTTGTGTGTTTGAGTCCCTGGAAGGCAGAGTTAGGAGAAATTTGGAATGTTTTCTGTGACTCACCCATAGAAGATGTGCCTTCTGCTGGCCTCACCTACCTAGGTGGTCCCAGCATATAAGCTGTGAGGGTTGCAGAAGCACATGGGCCTTGGTGTAAACCCCAGATCTGCCCTTTAATAGCTATTGGCCTGGAGCCAATCCTAACAACCCAGTGCTTTGATAGAAGTAAAGCTGTGCCACCGGGCAGGAGAGACAGTAGAGCTGGGAAGGCCTTGCATACAGCTGATCAGGTTTGATCCCCAGCACCCCATAGAGTTCCCCGATTCCCACCTGGAGTGATCCCTGAGCATAGAGCCAGGACTAAACCCTAAACACCAGTGAGTATGGCTCTAAAACAAATACAGAACAAAAAAGCTATGTCGTCCAGTAATCGGGAATGAAGAGAGAGGGTGGGAAAGACCCCTCAATGGGCTGCAGGACAGGCTTCGCATATAGGCTGCCTGATTGGATCCAGGCACTATACAGTCCCCCAAGCACCACCAGGAGTGACACACAAGCGAAGAGCTGGTAGTAGCCCTGAGCACCACAGGGTGTGGCCCAACAACCAAAACAAAACAAAACAAAACAGAGGGTAGACTTGGGTTTAGCTCAGTCAGCATTTCTCAACAATGGGTCATCTGGGTCCCTGTGAACTCCAAGAGAGACCAAGGGGAACACAGGCAAAAGTCACATCAACGGGGGTCACAGGAAGGGAACATGGTCAGAAGCAGGACCACAGGTGGAAAAAGGTTGAGAAACACTGTTCTAAGATACAGTTTACAATCTGCTTAGCATTAGACAAATGTGACTTCTATAAGTCTTGGATTTTTTATTTGTTTTTATGTCACACCCGGCAGTAGTCAGGGGCTACTCCTGGCTCCGTGCTCAGGAATCACTCCTGGAGGTGCTCGGGGGACCATATGCAGTGCTGAGGATCTAATCGGAGTCAGTCATGTGCCAGGCAAGGGCCTCCTATCTCTCTGGCCCAATCTTGTCTTTCTTGTCTTGAGACTTATTAGGATTGTGACAACTGTAGCACTGTAGCACTGTCCTCCTGTTGTTCATTGATTTGCTCCAGCAGGCCCAGTAACATTGTGAGACTTGTTACTGTGTTTGGCATATTGAATACATCACGGGGAGCTTGCCAGGCTTTGCCTTGTGGGCGAGATACTCTCGGTAGCTTGCCAGGCTCTCCAAGAGGGGTGGAGGAATTGAACACAGGTTGGCCCTATCGGCCGCATGCAAGGCAAATGCCCTACCCACTGTGCTATCGCTCCAGCCCTGTGACAACTAAATTAGATAATTCAAATAAAGTAAGTATATAATAAACACTCAACAAGTGGAAACTATTGTTATCAAAGTATTTTGCTATTAACTACTCTATTGTTTGTTGCCAAGATGGAGAGAGAATATATTTGTGTGGATTTGTGTGGTGTTCTTGATCTGGTGATCCACCTCCCCTTCCCAGACCCTGATCTGCCTCTTCTCTATGCTGTAGTTTCCTCCCGCTAAATCTTTCCTGTGTGTCATCCCCTTTGAAATAAACTTTCATGAACTAAGGTCAGCATCAGCAGTCTATGGTTCTAAGGTAGAAATAAAACCTGTTTGATGTCTTCAGAGGCCCAGGGTTCATCTGTGCCCTTGGGGAGCATGTATGTGAACAATTAGTTGCCTTCGAGAGACCATATCACTACTTCTGCTGTCTAACTCAGACCATAGTTGCCTGGCTGGCCCATAATCAAGGACAACAGGTCTGTGACAAGCTCTTGAGTTACTCTGTAGCAGGAAGAATTTATGGTAGATTTAATGAGTTTCATATTTGAGCTAGCAGGGGTGGAGAGGTAGTATAACAGGTATACCATACACACAGCTGACCCAAGTTCAATCCTTGGCACCCCATATGCCGTTCTTAACCCCACCAGAAGTGATCCCTGAGCACAGAACTAGGAGTAAGCCCTGATTACCGCTGAATGTGGCCTCCAAAACATATAGGATCTAACCTGATCAACTTTGTTGATCATATTCCGCAATGTGAGCCTATTGTTTATGGGGCCCTGATACTGTGATTATGTTGATAGATCTTCAGAACTCTTCCTCCTCCATTCAGACCTAAAGAGACCTTTATCCATGAAATTAAGAGAGCATTTTGCTCGAAGGCCAAAGTCAATGGTGCTCAAAAACTACTCTTATCTCTGTGTGGAAAGAACTGTTCACACTATCAGGAATTGAACCTCAGACCTCCCACATGGAAAGTCTGCAGGCTGTCCAGTGAGCTATCCTGCTGGATCATAGTGCTTTTAGTATTGTTCTCTATTTAAAGATGTGGCTCCTCTGTATTCCTCAGCCCCAGACAGGGGCTTTTTGTAACCCTTGTGGAGCAGGAAACTGTTTGGAGAAGTGCTTGCAGAAACCACAGGAAGCATTTTAGTGTTTCTTTCTTTCTTGCCATTAAGCTCCTTTTTTTTGTTTGTTTGTTTTGAGGCCACACCAGGCAGTGTTCAGGACTCACTCCTGACTCTACAATCAGGAATAACTCCTGGTGGTGCTCAGGGGATCATATAAGGTACCCAGGATCGAACCCAGTCAGCTGCATGCAAGGCAAGTGTCTTACCCTCTGTGCTATCTCTCCAGTCCTGTTACTTCTTTCTATCATTCATTCATATATCAGAAGATAAGCAAGCCAGAAAGAGGGAATGATATAAAATACAACTGTTTTTATCAAAGAGGTCAGTGTAGCTGAAAAAAAAATCATGAAACCAGATAAAGGCAGACAGAGATGGTTGCTCTAGAGCAGAGTTAAAGGGTTTCACACACCAGAGGCACGTGTTTCGGGGCAGAGGTGGGTAGGGTTATAAGTGGAAAACTACAGAGGGAAAAATGTGGGCTTTAATTTTGACTTGAGGGGCCATGAAAGTATAAGAGGAGGAATTCCAGGAAGGACTAATCACCGGTCAAGAAGGAAATTTTAAGCTATTAGGAAAGCTTGAGCTTTGAACAGTTTTGCCAAAGTAGAGCAAAGTGAAGTGAGGAAGGCATGGAGCAGCTCCTAAGGGGCCTTGTAAGCCGCATTAAGAACTTGGCTGTCCCAAGATGGTGCTCATGTGGATCTGGATGGCTCCTGCTACTGGCAACAGGGAAAGAAGCAGACCAGTAGCTAATGCCTGACACACAGCGGGAACTGCTGAGAACCTGAATTCAAGGGTCAGTGGAATTAGTACAGACGGTTTTGTGGTCTGTTTTTAGCCTCCCTCCCCACTTGCTTATGTGTCTGCTGGTGAGATGGCTCAAAGCCTCAGACACTTGCCTGGTTCCTGCCAAGTACTAGAGTTCCACCTGGTCTTCAAATACCGCAGAGGTCCTCAAATTCAACTCGTCCCTCAACACTCGCTTCCTCCTCTCCCCATTCTAATTTAGTATTTTAAGTCTCATTCCTTTCCCTTGAATTTTGTTCCTCACGTCTGTGTCCTCTGCTCAGCATCAAACCTGTTTCCTGTTCAAGCTTGGAGTTCCATTGGGGACATGGCGGGGAGAAGGTGGAGGTCACTAAGTTAGCCAAGAGTCTCTGGATATAAACAAATCGTCGTTACTGACAACAGTATTAATAACAATAACTAATAATTGATAGGATTGTCGGTAAAATAGAAGCATAAGGGAGAAATCCCGATTGGTTGCCTCCAGGAGCGGAGCCGAGGCGGGGAATGGGGCGGGGCCTCAGCCTGGACCGGCGGGGAGGGGCGGGGCCTAAGGCTGGGCCGGCAAGGAAATGGGCGGGGCCTCGGCCTTGACCGGCAGGGAGGGGTGGGGCCTCAGCTTGAGCGGAGGCGCCAGGGAAAGAGTTTTACCTAGAGTCCAAGGGATAGTCTCCCACTGCGTCGGTAGAAGCTGAGGGCTGGTTCAGTTTGGGAGGGAGAGGGCTGAGAACAGACCTCCTGCTGCCGCCGCTGCGGGTTTCTAACCTCCGCAGGGACCTGGTGGGGCGGGACTAGGGGCGGAGCTTTCAGTCCCAGTACTAGGGTTTTTGTCCCTGACTGGCGAGACGGACCCGGGGGCGTGTCCGGGGGCGGGCCCTGAGGCGGGCCCGGGGGCGGTCCTGCTTTGCTTTTGACAGCTCCCTCCCGCACTGCCTGCTGCAGCCCAGCGAGTCCCGTGGGTCGGAGAACCCGTGGCCCCACTCTCCGCGCGTCCCCGTCCCCCCGTGGCCCTGGCCTCGGCCATGAAGCGCATCTTCTCCTGCTCCAGCTCACAGGTGGCGGTAGGTGCCAAATTGGGAAGATGGGCAATGGGGCAGGGGTCTAGCCCCTAGGTGACAGAAGTCTTGAGTCCCATCTCCATGCGCCACCGCCTTTTTTCTCGACCAGTCTTCCCAGCTCTCCCGCTTCTGCAGTCCTGTCTCCCCTAGACCCTGTACCCCGGCTCCGATTTGCCTTTCTAACTCTGTCCTCCTTCCCCTCTGCCCTTTTTTGTACTCAAAACTGACAGCCCCAACTTCTGGTACGTTTCCTGCAGTCCCTACCCGCTCCTGAAGATTCTGTACTCATGTTCTGCTTGGTGCAGAGCTGTCTCCCAAACACCTGCGCAGTCCCCAAACCTGAGCAGAACCGAGATGCATTTCTTCTCTCATGATCCCATTTCCCAGACCAGACTTGTCCTCACAATCCTGCCCCACACTTTCTCCCATTTGCCTTCCCCAACCCCTCTGTTCAGAGTCCCCTCTTAGAGGAGGAGCCCCTGATGTCTTCTCCTCCAGGCACTTCCACTCCTGTTCTCTCTCCATCACCCGGGCCCTCCAAACCTCACCCAGCCATTCCACACGTCTTTCCACTCAACACTCCCACAACAGCTGTCCCCCCCACCCCCCATTCTTCCCATTCTCCCCTTCAACCTCTGCCCAGAGTTCTCCTGTGTCTCTCTTCCCCTTTGCCTGGACCTCCATCTGCCTGCTCTCTGTGGGTTAATCTCATAGCCAGGCCAGGCTGACAGGCGCGGCCAGAGAGGTATGGTCTGGCCGCTCCCCAGAGAGCTGGGTGAGTTCCTGCAGAATCCACCCCAGCCAGTTCACTGCAGTTTCTCCTCATCAGACTGGTTCTTGGGCCCATCTAACCACTTACTCCCCAGAATCTTCCTGAGCCTTAAGCCCTTAAGCCCTCACCCATTCTGTTCTCTGTTTCCTTGGAGAGGGGGAAGGTGATGATGAGGGAAGAAGGGATGGGGGGACTCATGGGGAGAGTCCTCCATAGACATCACTTGACTGCCCCAGTTCTCTTGGAAGGAAGCACAAGGAAGGTGATTACAGAAAGTGGTGACTCAGGGAGTCTGCAGCTTCTCCTCTAAAGATCTCTTGCAGATCCCCGTCCCTGGATGGAGCTTTCTGTAGAGACTGGGTTGCGCTCACGGAGAAGTGATTGTGGCCCCTTTTGCAGCAACACTGCTTGGCCTGACTTGCCCTTTGTGGCCTCGCTCATAAGCCAAGAGGGGAGTGCTCAGCTCATTCTGCAAGTCACAGACACCTGCAAGGGAGATATATGAGGCAAGAGCAGGGACTCGTTGAAGCCTGTCCTTGTCCCACTTACATCTGCTTCTCAGCTGAGTTTCCACACCTCCAGCAACCAATCAAAAGGCACTTATGGAGTGACTACCTGAGGTACCAGAAACTGAGCTGGCCAGACTCTGCCTGATTTCACTGTGATTTTTTTCTATTCATGTGAACTCTTCCCTAGTTACTGAATGTACTCCACATTGCCCTTTCCCTGGGGTTGGTCGAGTCTTCTCTCTTCCTAGGAATGGGGAGACTATCTGCTGCCTCTCCAATCCAATCCTTGGTCAGTATCTCCTTTCTAAGGTGCTAGAGTGGGTACTGGACTGAATATCAGAATTTGAAAGCAAACCACTGTCCTCCCCCCACCTCCAGAGAGAGGTTTGACCATAAAGACTTTGCATGAATTCTGAACTCTCTTTAGTGTAACAACATTATAGAAAGTGCACTGGAAGAGATTTAGAGCTAAATGGGAAAAAAGTCAGGTTATGATCACAGAAATCTTGAAAATAGGCCAGTCCCAGCTGTTAATTGTTTCCTCATGAGCTTCTCATGAGCTTCTCATGAGATTCTTCAGCTCCCTGGGTGGCTAAGGACTCTGGACCTGTTTGACAGAGAAGCATGTGGCTGTCTTCCTGGTCACTCCCACAGTCTGACTTTCCAGTCATGCTGGAAGATTAGCCTGCGCAGCCCCTCTCGCTCCCCTGGGTCTGGAGCCAGCGCCCTGCACCCTGAGACTGAGATGCAGATGGAAAATTTAGTGATTACTTTCAAAGTAATCTAAGCTATCCAGAATCAGAAAGATCAGCAAAACAAGCAAAAAATCTGGCTCCTATAAACTCGTTTTAGCTCAGCCAAGCAGAGGACGCCTTGTGGATCACAATGTGTCAGCCCACCCTCACTACCACAGAAAATAGCTTTGGACAGTTGGCACCATATGAGCTCAGAGAAATGTCAATGGCAAAGAGAGATGGAAAGTCAGCCCCTGGCTCCCCAGGGCAGGCTTTCCGTTCCATCTCCTGCCCTCCAGCAGTAGCCACTCTTTCTCTCTTAAGTTGTTTCATCTTGATGGAATGCTCAGGCACACAGCCAGAGACAAGGAGAGGCTGCTATTATTTCTACAAAAGCCCCCTAATCTTAGCTACAGAAACACAAAGATGATACTTGTTTATGAGTCTACTGATTAATTTGCTGATCACTCCCTGGAATCTCTGATGGGAACCCAGTGCCTCTGTTCCAAAGCACTGGGATGAACAATGGATCACATCTTGAAATTTGAAAGTGTTACTTTGAACATCTTCACCCAGTTCTGTTGAATTTTGACCATGAAGAATTTCCATCCATGGGTCAGAGAGATGGTATAATGGTAAAGGTTCATGCATTGTATGCAGCCAACTCTGGTTTGATTCCCTACTCAGTACCAGATGGTCCCTAAGCATCACAGGTTGAAGCCTGGAGGTCTTCTGAGCACATATGAGTATGACCTCAAGCCACATTAGCAGCACTGCATCCTGGGTCCTCAGACTGAGCCACAGGCCCAGTTGACCAAGAACTGAGAACCCCTGAGCCTCTTGAGTACTACTTGGGAAACCCCTAGAAAAAGAGGATCTCTAGTCACTCTCAATTCTAGAATTACAAGAGTATAGGGAGTAGACTGGGTGATCATAGATCTAGCTAGAAATGACGTATGCTAAGAAGCACCTTTACCATCTTCATACGTTGTCTGCTCTGTCTTGGCTGATTACAGGTGTGATCCCTTCCTTACATGCCCCTAGGTGGAGAATTCTGGGCCCTTTCAGAAATATTCAAACTCTGCCCAGTAAGGCTAGGAAGAGTGGGTATTTGAAGTGATATTTATTCTGCACCTACTATGTGACAGAAATTATGTTAGTTTTTTCATTGTTTCTTGGTGTGTGTGGGATCAAACCCAGGGCCTCACAATTGCCAGACAAGCAATGTACCACTATGCTATATCCCCAGCTATGTATTATTATTATTATTGTAGCACTGTCCTCCCATTGTTCATCAATTTACTTGAGCGGGCCCAGTAATGTCTCCATTGTGAGACTTGTTGTTACTGTTTTTGGCATATCGAATACGTCATGGGTAGCTTGTCAGGCTTTCCTGTATGGGTGGGATACTCTCGGTGGCTTGCCAGGCTCTCTGAGAGGGGTGGAGGAATCGAACCTGGGTTGGCCGAGTGCAAGGCAAATGCCCTATCTGCTGTGTTATCGCTCCAGCCCATTATTATTATTATTATCATTATTATTATTATTATCATTATTATTATTATTATTATTATTATTATTATTGTTAGGGCTGGAGCGATAGCACAGCGGGTAGGGCATCTGCCTTGCACGCAGCCAACATGGCCGACCCGAGTTCGATTCCTCCGCCCCTCTCGGAGAGCCCGGCAAGCTACCGAGAGTATTCGATATGCCAGACACAGTAACAACAAAGTCTCCAATGGAGACGTTACTGGGCCCGCTCGAGCAAATCGATGATCAACAGGAAGGCCTTTACTTTACTTTACTATTATTATTGTTTGGGGGCCATACCTGGCAGTGGTCAGGGATTACTCCTGGCTCTGTGCTTGGGGATCACTCCTGGCAGGGTGCAGGGGACCATAGGTAGTCCTGGGGTTTGGGCCATGTGCAAAGCAAATGCCCTGCCTGCCATAATATTACTCTAGTTCCTCTTTATTGTTTCTTAAATCAAATAATCAGTTTTGGTTTAAGGCCATGTGCAGTGGTGCTGAGAAGCCATGTGGTATGGGGTTTATAATTGCTGTGTAATTCCTAGCCCAATGCTGGGGGCTGAGTATGCCCTCTCACGTGTGAGCCATGTACTCTGTCTCTAGCCATACTCATTGCATCCATCTCTGAAATCAGGATTTTATTTATTTATAAATTTGGATTTGGGGGACATGCCTGGCAATGCTGGGGAGCTACTCCTGGCTGTGTGTTCAGGTATTACTCCTGGAAGTGCTTGGGAGACCATATGCCATGCTGAGTATCGAACCTGGGTCAACTGCTTTAACACTTTGTACTATCTTTCCAGCCCTAGAATCATGAATTTATTTATTCAATTTGGTTTTAGGGGGTAACACACACCTAGTGATATTCAGAGCTTACTCTTGGCTCTGTGCTCAGGAATCACTGCTGACAGGGCTGGGGGACCATATATCAGGGATCTAGTGAGAGTCAGACACCTCCAAGGCAAGAGTCTTCACCCCTGTACAATCTCTCTGGCACCCCCCCCCAAATCAGGATTTTAGATAGAAGATTTCAGTTGAGTTTGGCTGATAGCAGTGCCACGGGGTGGCAGAGGTGTAATTCGAATGCTTTGCTTTTCCCTAGGGCTTCTTGGTTCCCAAGAGATGTGGTTAATGTATTCTTAACTCCTTGGCATCTGTTGATATGTGGGGGAATTGTTTTGCTTATTTTGTCCCTTGAGAACCAACATGTTGGAGAGTCTTCACACAGGGAGTAGACTCAAAGCAGGAGATTTTGCCCTAGAGGCAATCTTAAACTATTTAGAAGCCAGGAAGTGTATTCAGAGCTCAGTCACAGTGGTTTCTGGTGGGAAGAACTAGAATTGGGCATCAGGGTTCTAATCTCATTTGTTTTCTTTTTCTTTTTAGGGGGAGGGGTAGGCCTCATCTAAGGATGCTCAATTGTAGTTCCTGACTTTGCACTCAGAAATTACTCTGGGCAGGCTTAGGGGACCATATGGAGGGCTGGGGATGCAATGTGCAAGGCAAGCTCCCTATCTGCTGTACTATGGGTCTGGCCTCTCTAGTCTCATTTTTAACCTCTATTTTGTGTTGTGACCCTGGTCAATGATTTTACCTCAGTGTGCGTCAGGTTCTTCCTTTATCAGGCAGATAAAAGAATATCCTCCCTCCCTGACATCTACTTCCATAGCACTGAAAGCAAAAGACTTACAAGAACTTTCCAGGGGCATCTTCTTAGAATTCACCTACCCCAGATAAGTTTATGGTTGACCCATTGAAGATCTTTCCTACTTTTGATGAACAGTTTTCCCTGGCTGTGTAAATAGTATCCAAGTTATTTGGCTTCTGTGGACGCCATTTTCCCTATCTCCTCCCAAGCCTCTTGTTGAGATGACACCTCATAAAAGCAACCTCCACCACTTCCTGTTTTGTCCCAAGGATGGCATACACTGGCATGACTCTTGATAGTTCACAGAGAGCTTCTATATACATTAGCTCATTTAACACTCATAGCACGATGAGGTAGTCATTATTTCCCATACTTTATAGATGAGGATACAGGTTAGAGGTGTTTAATATGGCTTTACTCTAGGTCACATTGATGAGAAAGTAGTAGAACTACACCATGACACAGGCCTACTGACCAACTCTTCACCTGTGACCCTTTTCCCCATATAGCAGTCTTCTTTTGGGGAGAACACATCTGGTGATGCTCAGGGGCTACTCCTGGTTCTGCACTCAGGAATCATTCCTGGTGATGCTTGGGAAACCATATGGGATTCCAGGAATCAAACCCAGGTCAGCCATATGCAAGGCAAACTCTCTAGTCACTTTATTATCACTCCAGCCCCCATACTACAGGTTTTTATTATTATTTTTATAATAACTAGTTTTGGAGTCACACTAGTCAGTGCTCAGGGCTTACTCCTGGCTCTGCACTCAGGGATCCCTCCTAGTGGGGTCAGGGGAACTTATGGGGTGCTGCAAATTTAACCCCTATGGCCACTGTACTAACTCTCTGGGCCCAAGAGCAAAGTTTTGTTTGGTTATGTTTTGGGGCCACATCCAACAGTCTTCAGGGGTTATTCTTGGTACTGGGATCAAGGGACCTTTATGTGGTACTGGGGGTTGAAGGAGTGTTAGCTGTGTGCCAGGCAAGGGATTTACCCACGGTCCTATCTCTCTGCCTGCCACACGTGCTGCAGTTTAAAAAAAATTTTTTTTCATCTCTTTTCCATTCCTTTCCCATTTCTGGATCAAAGCAGGCTTTTTGTGTGTGTGTGCTTTCAACCCTGGGTGTTTCCAGGGTTCTCTCTTTCACGCCCTGTGATACTTCAATTATTGTAATTACCCCACCACCCGCAAAACTCTAGCTGGAGCAATAGAACAATGCTGGCCCAGGTGTGGCTGTTGTCTGGGACAGCTGCTCCCGGCCAGGAACACAGGAGGGAGTGGTAGCAGGAGGAGGGGAGGCCGCGTCCTCTGGGTGGCAGAGATCCCATCTGCCCTTTGCTTGCTGGAACCAAGGCAGGAAGATCAACAAGTCACAGGACACAGGCACAGAAGAGAGAACAGAAACTGCTTCAAGGTCAGACAGACAGTACAGCTGGTAGGGTGTTTGCCTTGCATGGGGCTGATCTGAGTTCGATTCCTGGCATCCCATATGGTCCCCCAGCACTGCCAGGAGTGCATAGCCAGAAGTAAACCCTAAGCATCGCCAGGTGTACCTCATTCTCCCCCCCAAAAAAAAAATAAAGAAGAAAATAGAAAAAGAAAGGAAGAATGAAGGAAACTTTGCCTCCTCAAAGCCAGTGGGGCCCACCATCAGTTGGCAGAGATGGAAAATGCGGGGCAACATTCAGACTCGAGGTGGAGCTCATACACAGTGGACAGAGCTGGGAGGGCCCAGCATTCAGACTCAAGATGGGTCCCACAAACAGTGGGCAGAGATGGAGGGCCAGAATTCAGACTTACAGCTGTAACCTAGAGCTAGCATTTTGGTTTGTGACATACTGAGGCACAGTGGCAGGGAGGGGAGAGGAGTGGTGAGTCCTGCAGGAGGAACCTGTGTGGGTCCTACTAGAGAGCTGAAGAGGAAGGAGTCATGCAGGGGCTTCCTGGCCCCACTCACAGGGACCATGAAGCAGTTGTGTGGGGTCCTGTACTCGCAGTCTCCATTAGGATTTCTCTCTCAGTGACACAATCACCTTTGGCTCCAGGCCTGTGTCATAGAAGCTTATCCCTGGCAGCTGTTCCTGGTGGAATACCAGTTGGAGAACATCTGGTTCATGGAGAATGAAGCCATCCAGGGGGACACTGAAAGATCCTAGATATCCTCTCCTCTACTTGCCCTCCTCATGTCTCCCTCTGTGCTTTCTCTACGGCACCCGTGTGTGGCTACAAACCAGGTGGAGCGATGGAACCGCCGTGACCAGAAGCTGCTGGAGGCCGTGCAACGGGGGGATGTGGGACGCGTGGCAGCCCTGGCCTCCAGGAAGTCAGCCCGACCCACCAAGCTGGACCCCAGTGGCCAGTCCCCGTAAGTCCATCCCCCCCGCACCCACCCTCAATGTGCTTCCTTCTGGAAGGTCCCAGTCCAGTTAACGATGGGGACAACAACAGCCTCCACGTCAGGGCCCTTTGTCTGAGTCAGCAAACACTCCAGAATGTTCTTCCATGGGCCGTACAAAAGAATGAAGAAGGTATTGTCCCTGGATTCCAGCCACTTCGCAGCTCAGACCAACAATACTGATGAGAACAGGACACAAAGGGTCAGAGAGACAGGATGGGTGCAAGCACACAGTACCCTTGCATCCTGCTTCCCTGTTCGATTGCGGCACTACATAGGGTTCCCTGAGACTCACCAGACATGATCTCCTGTGTGGCCCAAATCCCCCCAAACAAACAAACATACAAACAAACAAACAAACAAACCAAAACAAGACACAGTACCTGCCTTAGAAAGAAACAAAAAAACTAGTTTTCCCAGGAGAGCAGTTTCCTGCACTCGTTGGGACTTACCAATGGGGGGCACTGAACCATTCACTGGTGACTAAGACTGCAGTGGGGCAGCCGGAAGGTGGTGCTTTCTGTTCCTCAAGAAGGGGATGTTCGGGGGCTGCTGATGAACCTGGTGGTGCTCAGGGCTTACTCCTGATTCTGTGCTCAGAGATCAGTCCCGGTGGGGACTAGGGGACCCTGCATGGTGCCAGGGGTGTAAGACGAGCACCTTACCACTCTACTCTCTCTCTAGACCTGAATGATATTTTTTTTAGAAAAGAGGGGACAGGACAAATGCATTTGGGGACTTCTAGACTCCTATTTTTTTTCTTTGTTTTTTTGGTGACACTCTCCTGTGCTCAGGGTAGAATCAGCCCAGGGCCTCATACATGGATGCAGGACAAGTATCTGCCACTCATATCTTTTCTCATTACCCAGGTAGAAGGGAGACTGCCGGGGATCAGGAATGGAATGACAGTCTGCGAGTCTCTGGGTTAGCGAACAGTGGCATATTACCTCATCTCCACCTACATCAGCCTCCATACCCCCAGGCCTCTGCTCCCACTGACTGCCTCTTTCAGTGACACAGCCATACAGCTAAGGGGCCTGCATCAGAGTGTGAAGACTATGCATTCTCTGGGCAGCTGTCATTGGTCAAAATGGCTAGGGACCTGCAACTCTCATGTCTGTCTGTGCTGTCCCTGACTTCTCTGCACTCTGCAGGGCACACAGGTAGCAGAAGCTGCCCTCTCTACCTCTGAGGTTGGCTTTTGGGTGAGAAAGTATAGCAGGGCAGTGTTTCTAAGTGTCTCCCACAGGCCCGGTGACATAGGACAGAAAGAAGTCACTTGCCTTGCATGCAGCCAACTCCAGATTTGATCTCTGGCACTGCATAAGTTCCACCAAACCCCTGATCACAGAGTCAGTAGGAAGCCCTGAGCACTGCCAGGTGTGGCCCCCAAACAAACAAAAAACATTGTCCCACTAGCAAGAGAGGTGACTCACAGTGTTGGCACATGTGTGGCTCTCTGCATGCTTCAGCCCAGCATTACAAGGTCCCCTGAGCAGGTGCTTGCCTTGTACACAGCCAACCAGGGTTCAATTTGTGGCATCCACATGGTCCCCCCAAGCACTTCCAGGAGTAATTTCTGACTGCAGAAGTAGGAGTACTGCTGAGCACTGCTGAGTATGGCCCTAAAACCAAATAGTTAAGTAAAATTTCAAAAGAAAACAACAGCAACAAAAAAAGATTGTCCCACTTCTAGTTCCTTCATCCTTCTGCCTCTTCACTTGGATTCTGGCAGGTTCCATCTCGCAGCCTCCAAGGGCCTGACAGAATGTCTGATGCTGCTGCTGGCCAATGGGGCTGATATCAACAGCAAGAATGAGGATGGTGAGTCCAACCACTCGCATCACCCTGTCCAGCAGTGGTGGGGACCTGTGCTGGATCTGCTCCAACAATCACCCCAGCTTCTCTGCCTTCTTTCTAACGAATCTCCTGCTGGGGTTCCCCCACAGTCCAGGTCCACATCATCATCACTCCCTTCTCCACCCAGGGACAAGGCACTGGGGGAACAGGAATTTCTAGGGGAACAGGAATCCATAGCTGCAGCTTCTCTGTCTAATCTCCCTCTGATTATCTTGCGTCCAGGTGAGTCACTGACAAGCACAGGCCTTCCTCCCTCTCTCCCTCCTTCTCCTTTCAGGCAGCACCGCCTTGCACTTGGCTACCATCTCCTGCCAGCCTCAGTGTGTCAAGGTCCTGCTGCAGGTAAGAACCTTCCTAGTGTGCTGTGAGGGGCAGACATGGACCCAGAGTCTCCCAAACTTGTCTTGTAGTCCCAGGAAATGCTCGGTCAAGTGCATCCCTCTCATCTCCAATTAACATGAAGGGAATCATATATTCAAGGGCTCACGTGTGTATGAATGACAGCTCATGGGTGTGAGCACTAGCTTTAATGCTGCCCTTGATGGCAAATCACAAGACAGCGTGGCCAGCCAGCCACAGTCGAAGTATCCCTGTGGACACAAAAATCTCCACCGCCTAGCTGAAGTCCCAGAGTGCTGGGGAGGTGGGAGATGGCAGCGGGTTTCAATGAAGCACCATCCTGCTGTGGGTTGTGGTGGAGTGAGTTCATGGTGTAGGAAGCTGCTGCATCCAGGATGCATCCATCGCTCCTTTCTGCTTCCCTCTCTGGCTGTTTGCAGCACGGAGCCAATGAAGATGCTGTGGATGCAGAGAACCGAAGTCCACTGCACTGGGCAGGTGTGTGACAAGATGCGTGAAAGAGTTAGGAGGACACGGGGTATGAGGGCTGGGCCAGGACTGACTGCTAAGAGGGTCTGAGGAGGGGCCTCACTGCTTGCCACCAACTCTGCCTCTGCCCTCCCAGCCTCCTCAGGCTGTGCTTCCAGTGTGCTTCTGCTGTGTGACCATGAAGCTTTCCTGGACGTCCTGGATAATGTAAGTGCCGCGGCTGCTCCACCGGGTTTCATGCTGGTGGATTTTGTGTCCAGGGCTGGCTCTGCAGCAGGACCTCCTCATCCTCCTCCTCTTCCTCCCAGAGAGGAGAGAGGAAGTCTTGTCTCCTGACTCATGTTCTCAAATTTATTTGGCCTGATGCCTCCTTTTTCCAAAAAAATCCCTCAGTGTTCCCCAGGATATAAACTTTTTGCTGCTGTTGTTTAGCTTTTTTTGGGTCACACCAGGCGATGTTTAGGAGTTGCTCCTGGCTCTGCACTCAGAAATTACTCCTGGCCGTACTTGGGGGACCATATGGGATGCCAGGGATTAGACCTGGGTTGGCTGCATGGAAGGCAAATGCCCTATTTATTGTGCTATCACTCCGGCCCCCAGGATATACAGTTTCTTTAAACAAAAAGACAGAAAACATTCCTCTGCAAGTGCACCTGAGACATTACTACCACCCGCCCCTGCCCAGATCTGGACGTTCTAGTGCCCCCAGCTTAGAAAAAACTGAGGCATCCATTCCCCCACTTGGAGCCCACAGCCCACACTGACCCTCTTCTCTGGGAAAGGAGCAGGGAGTAGGGACTAGTAAGCCTGTGTGAGGCCTCTGGCTCATGAACCCCTTCCCACAATGTGTGCAGGACGGACGCACCCCGCTGATGATTGCCTCCCTGGGGGGTCACGCAGCGATCTGCTCACAACTGCTGCAGAGAGGTGCCCGCGTCAACGTCACTGACAAGGATGACAAGTGAGCCCCCAGACCCAGGCCCCGAAGGAGCTGCTAGGCAAAGAGTGCGTGTGCATGCTCACGTGTGTGTCTGTGTGTGAACACACATGTGCATGCTTGTGCATGCCTGTGTGCATCTCTGTGTGTGTGTGTGCTATGTGTGGGTACAGGAAGAAAGTGGGTCTGTGTACTTGAGAACTTCCTCCACATGGTGGGTCAGAAGATTCCCTGACGCATTTCTTGTTGGTGAGCTGAGCTGAGCCAGTTTTTCTTGGACTTTCAGGTTGAGCTGCCACCATCACGGTCTGTGTCGTGGCGATGACTCCAGAGTCGAATCTGAACCTCTGCTCCATTGGTTCCATTTATTCACTTTTAGTTTGTTTGTTTTTCCGAGCCACACCCAGCAATGCTCAGAGATTATTCCTGGCTCTGCACTCAGGAATTACTCCTGGCAGTGCTGGGAGGACCATATGGAATGCCAGGGATCAAACCCAGATTGGCTATGGGCGAGACAAATACCCTACCTCCTATACTATCGCTCCAGTCCTCCATTTACTCGCTTTCAAGCAATCTTCTAAGCAATGGAAGACTTACTTCTAATAACTCAGGTAGCAGCTTAAGACAGAATGCAAGTGGAAATGGTGGTCAGTTGGCTCCAATTGGTCCCTGGCTTTCTGAAGGCTGCAGCTCAAGACATGTCCTATGAAAAAGTCTGGTCTCATGCTTTCCCTCCATGCCTGTGGATCTGTGGGTCCCGGGAGCACGAAGAGCACAAAGCCTGTGAGTGTACTGCCTGGAAGCAGGACCCCAGGGCCTCACAGGGGTTGCCTAGTTCCCATCTCTCTCCCCTCCAGGTCGGCGCTGATCCTAGCCTGTGAGAGAGGCAGTGCAGAGGTGGCAGAACTGCTCCTGAGCCACGGGGCTGATGCAGGGGCCCTGGACAGCACTGGCCACGATGCTCTGCACTATGCCCTGCGCACACAGGACCAGGCGCTGTGGGGGCTGCTGCAGCAGGCTCTGGACCGGCGGCGGCGGGGAGGTAGTACTTGCTTCTACATCCTGGCTTCAAGAATCTCCTCAGCAGGCCGAGAGGTGCTGGAGGTGCTGAGTAGGAACTCGGCGTGCTGCACACCTAGCTTCAGTTCCCGGCCTTTCTGGCCCTTAGACCAGAGTCCTGAGATCAAAGCTAAGAGTAGCCCCTCAGTGCCTCTGGGTGTGACCCAAAAACTGAAAGCTGGAGGGAAGATTAAGAAAAAAAAAAACCCAAAGCAAAACTAGTTCCCCTAATGGTTGAGAATCCAAAAAAACTTCTTAGAATCCCATTTGTTCCCCTAGAAATAATCCATCTGACAAATAATTTTCAAGTTTAGTTATTTCTTGCCATGGTTACAAAAATATCTCAAATTCCTTCAAAACATGGTCACATCATTGTCTCTGCTGAAGGAAACTCTGGCCCGATAACCAGCATGACAGAGTTGTCCTTGTACAACCATTTGTGTGATTGCTGGTTGATCCCTCTTGCCCTCCCACACTGTTAGTCCCTCAGATGACAGACCAACTCCACCTTGCCTGCCACTCAAGTCCTGGTGCCCATGCCAGTGTTTGGCACAGTGTCGAGTGTGCGAACTAAAGAAAGAGTTAGTGGGTCTGGAGTGGCACTACAAGGGAAGGTGCTGGCCTTGCACATGGCTGAGCCAGGTTAGGTCCCAAGTACCACATATGGTCCCCTAAGCTCCACCAAGAGTGGTATCTGAGCCAACCACCTCCCTGCTCCCCACCCAAAGGGTCAGGTTCTCACACCCCTACCCGCCATCTTTTTCTACAGGTCAGGGGCTAGTTCAACACCCAGATGCTGCATCCAAGGTAAGACCTTAAGTGCTTCCTGGTTTTGCTCCTGCCCCCAGATAAGGTATCTCTGAGGGGTGACCCTGTGGCTGAGAGAATTGAATTCTGCTGGCTGGGACAAAGGTCACATAGTCTGAACCACACCCTCTGAGCGGGACCCTGAGTTTAGTCACTGGAACCATATGCCCTGTCCCCCAGCACTGCCGGCTGTAACCCTGGGAGCTCCCAAGCATAAATGAGGGTAGTCTCTACAAAAAATACATTTTCAGGTGCTGGTTCAATCCCTGGCATTCCATATGGTTGCCAAACACTGCTGGGAGTGATTCCTGAATGCGGAGTCAGGAGTAAACCCTGAGCATTGATGGGTGTGGCAAAAAAAAAAACTTAAAAAAAAAACACCAAACCCCCCATTTTCAGGGGCCTGGAGAGATAGTAAAGGGGTTAAGGTTAAGGTGCTTGCCTTGCTGGCAGCCGACCCAGTTTCCATCCCTAGCACCACATGGGGTCCCCCAAGCACTGCCAGGTGTACCCACCAACAAAACACATTTTAGGGACTGGGAAGAGAGCTGAAAGGACAACACAGGTTATGCAAGTGGGAGGCCCAGGTGCTATCCTAGGTACTACATGGTGGGGCAACCCCCAAGTACCAATAAGTGTGACCTAAAGACAGAAAAAAACAAAATAAAATCAAAGTTTAAAAAGATCCCAGAAGAGAGTGGCCAGGGAGATAGTCTCAGGGAATGAGGGTGTGCCTGGCACCTGACAGTCTGAGTTTAAGTCCGGGCACCGCCTGGTTCCCAAGCATAGCCTCCAGGAGCTCCAGGCAGAGTTGCCAGGAAAGGGCCTTCCAGGGAGTCCTAGGAGAGGAGAGAGTGGCCGGCAGCTCGGGAAGCATCACTGTTCTGTGTTTCACCTAGGCCTCTGCCTCTGAGCCTCAGGCTGGCTGCAGGCCTAAGAGTTCACGGAGAGCGGAGACCAACGCAGAGGAGCAGGGAGAGGAGGAGAGCCATGGCCCTTGCTTGGAGGAGTGGAGGAGCAAGTACGAAGAGGAGCAGAGGAAAGTGTCTCAGTTGGAGCAGGAGCTGGAGAGGAAGACAGAAGCGTGCAGGGCTCAGGCAGAAGCCTACGTGGGCCTAGAGAACCAGATACGAGAGCGAGCGCAAGAGCTGGGAAGCCTTTTATCCCGGGAGGCTGGAGCCGGGGATAGCCATGGCTGCAGTGACAGGCCTGGAGGGGATGGCATGGAACAGGGCAGCGGGCCGCTGGATCTTCTGGCTGAGCGCATACAGGAGCTGAAGAGGCAGCATCAGGCCACAGGGGCAGCTGCAACACCAGCCTTGACGGCGCACACTGCGGAGAATGCAGGCCCCCAGGAGAACCTACATCAGACCCGTGGCAAGGTCCGCCCGGAAGAAGAGGGATCGTTGCAGAGCCCAAGGTCTGAGACCCCCAGGGAAGTCACCGCACAGCCAGTGACTGCCCTGAGTCCTGAGCGCGCCCACCATGTGCGCACAGGTCAGGAGGGAAGAGCGCACGCCCCAGGGGCGGCCCCCGCAGTGGAGCCTGGGGGCTCCGCAGCCCTGAACCAGCTCCTGCTGCAGCTCCGGGAAGAGCTGGCGGCCGTCTGGCGAGAAAAGGAGGCTGCCCGGGGCGCGCTGTCCAGGTCGAGCCAGGAGGGAGCTGTGGGCAGCCCCAGGGCCGAAGCCGCCGCCGCAGCCTGGGAGAAGATGGAGGCGAGGCTGGAGCGGGTGCTGGCGAGGCTGGATCGGGCCAAGGCTGGGCTGCAGGCGAACGCTGAGGGGAAGGGAGCCACGGGAACCGTGGCGGAAGAAACCGAGGAGCGAGAGGACAGGGCCCCGGGGGTCCGCGGAGAGCCTCTGGGGGCGCCTGGAGCTGAGCACGGGCCTGGAGGAGGACTGGGCAAGGGGCAGCTGGAGAAGGAGGTGTCGGCGCTGAGGCTGAGCAACAGCAACTTGCTGGAGGAGCTTGGGGAGCTGGGGCGTGAGCGGCAGCGGCTGCAAGGGGAGCTGCGAGCCATGAGCCAACGGCTGCAGCGCGAGTTCGTGCCGAAGCCCGAGGCACAGGTTCAGCTCCAGCAGCTGCGGCAGAGCGTGGGGCTGCTGACGGACGAGCTGGCCACGGAGAAGGAGGCCACGGAGAAGTTGCGGGCGCGCCTGGCTTCGCAGAGCAGTGGGCTGCGGGGGCTCTGGGACTGCCTGCCACCCGACCTGGTGGGCTCGGGCCCCACGGCCGCCGAGCCCCTGCACCAGCTGCAGGCTTGCGTCCGCGCCCTGGTGCAAGGGCACCGCGAAGCCCAACAGGTGCTGGCGCGATTGCAGGAGGAAAACCAGCAGCTACGGGGCTTGTCTGGCCCTCAGGGAGATCCCGGAGCCTCCCCCGGGGCTGCGGCCGCGCCCCAGGTGGCCGCTCTGGAGCAAGACCTGGGCAAGCTGGAGGAAGAGCTGCGTGCGGTGCAGGCCACGATGCGCGGCAAGAGCCAGGAGATCGGGAAGCTGAAGCAGCTGCTCTACCAGGCCACCGAAGAGGTGGCGGAGCTGCGCGCGCGGGAGGCGGCCAGCCTGCGGCAGCACGAGAGGACACGGGGCTCTCTGGTGGCGCAGGCCCAGGCGTGGGGTCAGGAGCTGAAGGCGCTGCTGGAGAAGTACAACGCCGCCTGCCGGGAGCTGAGCCGCCTGCGCGCCGCGGCCGCCGACGAGCGCCGCGGGGCCGCCGAGCACGAGCGCCGCGCCGGGGAGCTGCGTGCGCGCTCCGAGCAGTTCGAGAAGACTGCGGCGGCGCTGCGCGACAAAGTGGAGCATCTGCTCGGGGCCTGCCGCGACAAGGAGGCCAAGGTGAGCGCGAGGCGCGGGCTCAGGACCTAGCCCAGACTTCGCGTGGTGCGAAGGACCGAGTCCGAGAAGAGAAAAGGCTTGAGTAGAAGGGACAAGTGGCCTGGCAGTAGAGCCTGGGATCGGGTGCAGGAGCAGGGGAATGGCCAGCCGCTGGAGCTCAGCGGGACAGCACGTGCCCTGCGTGTGGGAGGTCCTGGGTTGGATCCCCAGGACTGAGGAAGCAGGGTGTCCAGGTGATTGCTGCGAGGACGCTGGCTCGTTAGTTTATTGGGAAGACTGCTGGGGTTTTGCTCCACTGGACAGCAGGAAATGGCTCCTGAGCTCGGCCTGGATGGAGAGGTGGAGGTCAGGGAGGGGGAAAGGGGGAAGGAAGGAAGGAAGGAAGGAAGGAAGGCAGGGAGGGAAGGAAGGAAAGAAGGAAGGAAGGGAAGGAAGGAGAGAAGGAAGAAAGGAAAGAAGGAAACGAAGGAAAGGAGGGTGAGAAGGGAGGGAGGGAGGGAGGAAGGAAGGAAGAAAGGAAGGGAGGGAGGGAGGAAGGAAGAGAGGGCCACGGAGCTAGCTTCTATGGTCTGGAACTTGGGGTTCGGTCCTCAGCACCACATGCTACCCCAGCACTACTAGAGACCTGCTAAACTTGGAGCAGGGAAGTGGCCTCCAAGCATCACCAGGTGTGACCTTCCCCTAAAAAAGAGAGAAAGTAGACTAGGCAGGAGCCTAGAGCGCCCCTTTGCCCCCTCACTCACATCATTCTTCTTCACTATAACACGGGAATGACAATACATTGTTGTGTTGAATAATACATTGAATAAGGTGTCATATTTAACATACACAGACAGTTGTTGGCATATAAGTACCCAGGAAAAGTGCTTGGTAGGGTGTTTGCTTTGCACATAGTTGAACTGGATTTGTCCCAGGCACCCTGGATAGTTTCCCGGAGCCACTCTGAGTGCAGAGCCAGGACTAAGCCCTGAGCATGCTTGGGTGTGTCCCACAAACAAACAAACAAACAAACAGGTTAGCTGTTGTTATTATTCCTACTGCTGTTGTTCCTGTGACTGCTGGTTGTCATTAACTGTATATATGTCCCAACCTCACAAAGCACAAAAACTCCACTCAGGGTGACCTTCCCTATCACAGGCTGATGACAGAAGCAGAACAGGGACCCCCCCCCCCCACACACACACAGAGCTGAAATCACAGGCGGGGGTCCCAGAGGATCCTGGTTCAGATCATGAGTTCATCACTTGTTAGCAGCATGATTTTGACAAGTCATCCAATGTAGGGACCTTATCTACATCACGTGAACGAATTCTTGCCTGGGAAAAGCACTGCTCCTCTCACTAGAGCACTGTGTGGGGCAATGAAGGAGTCTCTGCAGGTCAGGCATCTGGCAGATTGCACTCCCAATACAGGAAGTGAAACCCAACCCCCAGGTGTCACTGTGGTGGGAAATGACTCAAGCCTGACGAAACCCCTTTCTTTCCCTCTGGCATCAGATCAAGGAGCTGTTGAAGAAGCTGGAGCAGCTCTCTGAGGAGGTCCTGGCAGTTAGGGGGGAGAATGCCCGCCTGACGCTGCAGCTGCAGGTTTGCTTTGGCCAGAGCAAAGGGTACAGGATGGGAGTAAGGAGTGTGAGGGAGGCCCCGGTAGGTAGGTGGGTGGAGGTTGTGGGCACAGCAGACCCCCTTAGTTCACCGTTTCCTGGACTTGGGGTCTCGGGGTGAGTGTGGGAGGGTGGGCACAAAGCCTCTTTTGGTGCTCGCTCCCAGGATTCCCAGAAGAATCATGAAGAGATCATCTCCACCTACAGGAACCATCTGCTGAATGCAGCTCAGGTGAGCATGGCAGAGATTTGGAGAAGGGAGAAACATAAAGCTGGGCCGGGGGGGCAGAACTGGAGCCCCTTCTCTCACCCACCCAAAACTTTTGTTCCTGAGATCTGGGCTTTGGATGAGAGAAGACTTTGGGACTCACCAGGTAGATGAAGAGAGATTCTGTATGAAAAAAAGGGGCAGAGGTGTTGGCTTCCTTTTTGATCTGTATAACTGCCTGATCTGCTCTAGGGCCTTCTCCTGTTCTGTATGGCTTTATTCACTTTCCTTTGGAGCCAGATTATCCCTCCTAGGCAGGAGAGAGAGTACAGTGGGTAGGGCGCTTGCTTTGCACACAACTGACCCAGGTTCAGTCGTGTGCTCAGCACCGCACAGGAATGATCCCTGAACACAGATCCAGGAGTAAACCCTGAGTACCACTGGCTGTGGCCTTTCCACAATTATTTCCAAGGAAGAGGTAGGTGGTTTGCTCCTTCATTAGTAATAACTACCAAGAATCAATCACCTATTGTGTACCAGGTGTTTGAACTCATATTCATAACTGTCATTCACAGCATGATCTTCCTTGTGAAGACTGGTCAGAAGGAGGTCAAACCTCAAAAATAAAGCACATAGTCAAACACATTCTACGATGCCTTAAGAGCTCTACCATGCCTGTCTCTCCCCAGTTTTTACTTTTCATCTTTTTCTTTCTTTCTTGCCACCTCTAGGGCTATATGGATCAGGAGGTATATAATATTCTACTGCGCATACTCAGCAAGCAGGAGGAGTGAGGTCGTCTGTGCCTCGAGGGAGATGGGATTTTTCTGCTGTAAGTTGCGAATTGGGGGTGATGTGGGAAGGCCCTGGGAGAAAGGACTTTGGGAAGGAGGTTGGAGGATGAATTTCAAGACTCCTTTGGCTGGTGATGGTGGTGGTGGTGGTGACTGGCACCCGTGAGTCCTGCGGGGCAGAGGGCTGGAGTCAGGACAGTTGAGAAGGCCAGGGGCAGGGGTTGGAGGAAAGAGAGTACAGAGATTAAGGCATTTGCCTTGCATGGGGCTGGCCTGGATTCAGTTCCCAGCAAGTACCACATTTGGCCACCCAAACAGTGGGAGATGAGCTCGTGGTGCAAAGCTGTTCTCTAACTTAGACTCTGAAGACACCAAGGTCTCACTTTGGCTCCTGCACCAGAGGATAGCTACTCTAGCCCATCTCCTCTCCCCTATGAAAGTGACACCTTCTCCAGTCCAGATGAATGAGGCCCTCCCCACCCCCCCCCAACATCTGGGCATGTGTGGGAGGAGACAGAGATCTGCCAGTGTGTGCATTTCATCCTTTAATATTCTTCTTTCAGAAAGTAAGAGGCTCCCTGGTTGCCAAGACCCCATCAGGCCCTGGTGCTGGGGAATTGACCTCTAGGGGTGTCATAGGGGTGGACCCCAGAATGAAGACCTGAGCCTGAGAGCTGGAATCAAGACGTGTGCCACAGGAGGTGTGGATGCCAGCGCCTGGGCAATAAAGCCGGAGGCAGGATGGTGTCTGTCTGATCTGTCGGAGGGGAGTAGGGGAGGAAATCTGAAGTCAGCTGCTTTCAAACCTTTATTATGGTCCATGGCATATGTTTTAGTCCTGTGTGTGCATACCTGAAATAATAATAATCCTTATTATTCCTATTTTATGCCATTATATACTACTAAAAGATACTGGTCACCAAGAAAAAGCTACAAAGAAGTGAAGAAGTCAAGAAAAAAACCCAAAAGAACAAACTATAAACAAAGGAAAAATACTAGTGTCAACACATTCACTAGTGGGTCAAGTCCTACAGTCTAAAAAACAGCCCCCCCTTTTTTTCCACTTGTTTTTCGGGTCACAGCAGTGGTGCTCAGGTCTTATTCCTGTCTCTGTGCTTGGGGATCACTCCTGGTAGCCTGGGGGGAGGGGGTTGGGGGACAGACCATATGGGATCCTGGGATTAAGCCCAGGCTGGTCATGTATAAGACAAACATCCTGCTCGCTGTACTACTGCTCCAGTCCTAAAACAGCCCTTTTGAAAATGGGGAGTAACACTCTTTTATTTTCTCAAACCCATCTCTGAAGGGCCTATTTACACAGCTCTCATTTTTCTCATTTCTACTGGGATTCCTGAATCCATGTTATTTTTTAAAGAGCAAGCTTAAACTAGGCAACTAGATTTGTGACACAAGTCAAAAGACATCTGATTTCTGAAGAAGGAATGACTACTCAGAGCTGGATTCTGCTCTCCTGCTTAGTTCTCAGATTGTCCCCCCTCCCCCAAAAGTCCCTTTTGGCCACTTCCCCAGAGCTCCTCCCCTTCCTGCTGTCCACCCTCCTCCCTCCCCCACTGCGAGGTGAGAGCGAGGCTGAGTCCCTCGGGTTTGGCCCCACGAGGTCCCTCCCACTGCCTTGGCCCAGCCGGCTGTCGGGTGACGCAGGGTCAGCCACGAGGTTTGGCAGCGTCGGCAGGAAGGGCTGGGAGGATGGGGGGGGGGGGGGAGGAGCTGCCTTGGAAGCTGGGGCCGCACCAGGGCAGCAAAGCCAGGCCGCTGGGAAAGCAGCTACAGAGATGGGGTCCAGCCAAGGGGAGGGTCTTCCTGGAGGCCTTTATGGCTGAAGAAGGCTCTGTTTGAAGGCTGTGAGGATTAGAGAGGAGGGACTGAAGGAGAGGGGCAGAGAAAGAGTCATAGAAATGTCCAAATGGTTTCTGCTAAGGGGAACAGAACTTCCTTTTCCTTCCTGATCTTGAAGCTGCAAAGAATATAAATGTTGCACCACTCACATATGTAAGCTGTGTGGTATGGAAGAATGAAGTAAGTGCCTGGAACAGGGTGGGGAGAAGGGAGACAGTTTGGAGACGCTTATGCATTAGCTAGGAAAAAGTCTTGGGGCCTGCTAAGGCTCCTGGAAGCTGATCTCAGGATATCCTCGCCAGTGATGGTGGGAAGAGGGAAGGTCAATGTTAACACAGGCAGCCTTCCTGGGCTCTGGTCTCTGTAAACCATTTCCCTCGACACAACCCTGTGGATTTTTAGTCCAACAGCACTAAATCCTGAAATGGTTCCTGATTTCATCAATACATCTTTCCTGAAGTAACTCAGATTTGTTTCTGCCCCCTTCCTCCTGGCTGCCTAATAGGGCCACTTTCCGCAGGCTTCAGATACTCGAGTGGACAAGTGAACATAGGAAGATTACAGGCTATGTATGGAGTACAGACTGCATCTCCAAATGCCTTCAGGAGGGCTGGAGAGTTAGGACTAGGGGTTAGGCACTAGCCTTGATGCGCCCCACCTGAGTCTGATTCCCCCAAGCACCACCACATATGACCCAAACATCCGTCCCCCAAAATAGTGTCCTCAGAAACTTGCTCCTCCAGGGGGCTGGAGCAATAGAACAGCGGGCAGGGCGTTTGCCTTGCACACTGAGAACCCAGGTTCAATCCCCAACGTTCCATAGGGTCCCCCGAGCACCTGAGTGCAGAGTAACCCCTGTGCACTGCTGGGTGTGATCCCCAAAAAGCCAACAAACAAACAAACAAAAACCCACCACCAACAAAACTTGCTCCTGCTCTGCAGTTTCCGTCCTTTCTCAGGGACATACTTTATAAAGTGAATATTCAGGAAGATGTGCTATGTACCAGAGATAGAAAAGCACGTTGACCTCATGAGAACTCACGTGGGAGCAGATTCAGGTATCCAGTCTCCTAGTTCTCTGTTACTGCTGGGATACTAGAATTCAGTAGTCTCACTTTTTGCTGTTGTTTTTTGGGCCACACCCAGCGACCATGCTCAGGAGTCACTCCTGGCTCTGCAGTCTGGAATCACTCTTGGTGGCCGTAGGGGACCATAAGGGATTCTGGGGATTGAACCTCGGTCAGCCGTGTGCAACGCAAGCGCTTTACCAGCTGTGCTATTGCTCTAGCCTCTCAATTAACTCCTTTTAAAAAACCTTTAGTGAGGAAAAAATATATGTAATATCATATCGAGCTTAAGCTTACTGCATGGCTCCTTGATAAACTGTTTCTTTTGGGGGGAATCACACCCAGTGATGCTCAGGGGTTACTTCTGGCTCTGCGCTCAGGGGTCACACCTGGTGGGGTTTAGGGAATCATACGGGGTGCCAAGGATTGAACCCTGGTGGGCCCTGTGTAAAGCAAATGCTCTACCAGCTGTACTATATCTCTGATTACCACCACCCCCACTTTTTATCCTTCCTCTCCTGAAGATTCCGGAGAGGAAGATCTTGGGAGACACTACGCAGTCCTTTGTAAGGGACTTGTTCCTGACCCTCCCACACTGCGATGGAACCCAGGTCCTCACACAGGAGAGGCACATGTTCTAAGGCTCAACCACATCCCTGGTGCAACAGTAACTTTTGATCTAGAGATTAAGTAGTACAAAATAACAGCCCAGGCCCTCATGAAAACGGAACTGGAAATGACACTCAAATGCCTAAACTTAAGATCCTGTCAGCAGGGCCATGAGAAGGGAAGCATCAGGTAAGCTGACACCTTCCTCCTGAACCAAATCCACCAGGTGAGTGCGCAGGGACAGTTCAACCGGCGCTGGGAAAAAGCGCTGCCGCACAGGCGTAGGCAGTGTGCATGGGTTGGCCTGGACCAGAACTCCAGGAGAACTCCAGGGAGGCCTACGTGGAAAGGTGTGAGCGCAGAGAGGGGCTGAGGGGCATAGCATTACTGGTGAAGTTGTGCTGTGGCTGCCCACCTGCTCTGCGCGGCCCTACCTGCAGCTACACTGAGTGACGCTTTCACCACGAGCCACCTCTGACCATGTCCGAATAAACCACGCTACTACTTGGCTCCCAGTTAGATCGAGCCCCCCCACCCCCCCAGGCGGTGCGAGGAGCCTGGGTCGAACGCGGACGCTTCCCAGGAACTTGCTCACGAGGGGAATGGTCACAGCCCAGGCTGGGCCGCGGGAGCTTTGGGGGTAGAAGGCGCCTTTTGGAGGGCCGGCAGGAGCAGGCCCCCCGTGCGCTCGGTGGGACGGGGTGCAGGGACATGCAGGCTTCGGCGCGCCCCGAGACGGACAGCCCCGGCTCGGTCCCGCGGACCCGGAGCTTCGAGCCGCGCCAGGCGCAGCCGGAGTTGCCGAACCGGACACCCGCGGCGTCCCAGCCCACCCGCCAGGCCCGTCCCGAGCCCCTCCCCGGCCCGCCCCCAGCCCCGCCCCGGCCCCGGCTCGCGGTCCGGGCGGGCTCGGCCGGGAGGGGCGGCCCCAGGCCGAGCGGAGCCGCGCCGGAGCCGGGCTGGGCCGGGCCGGGCCGTGCCGCGCTGTAGCGTCCGGCGGCCGAGCGAGCCGGGCCGGGAGCGGCGCCCGCCGCGGAGCCCCGCGCCCCCGTCCGGTGAGTCCGGGCCCCGCGCAGAACTTCGGCCGCCACTCGGAGCCTCGGCCGGGCGGCGCGCGTGCGGCCGGCGGCCCGGGACTCCCCGAGCGCCCGAGCGGGGCCCGCTGCCGCCCCGCCGGGCCGCTGCACGGGGGTCGCCGTGCGCGCCCGCTCGCGCCCCTCCCCCAGGCCGGCGCCGTCTGTCCGTCCGCCCGTCCGTCCGCCCGCCCCGGGCCCCCTGAGCGCCGGGCGGGGGCGGGCGGCGGAGGGCGGGGCCGCGGGCCGGGCGGGGCGGGGCGGGGCGGGCGGCCGCTGCGGCCGGCGCCGGGGGCGGACTCACGCGCCGGGGCCGGGGCCGGGGCCCGGGCCGGGCCGGGCCGGGCCAGGCTAGGCTGGGCTGGGCTGGGCAGCGCCGGGCAGCGCCCGGGAGGCCGCAAGATGGCGGAGCTGGGCGAGTTCAAGGTAGCGGCTCCTCCCCCGGCCCCGAGCGCCGCCGCGGGGCCCGGCCGGGCGGGGGGTGCGGACGTGGCGCGCTCGGCCCGGGCGGCGGCGGGGCCGGGGGCGGGGCCGGGGGCGCGGGGCCGGGGCGCCGGGGGCGGGGCCGCGGGGCCAAGTGGGGTTCGGGGGCTGGGGCCGCCGCAGGGGGCGGGGCGATCGGGGCACGGGGGCCCCGAGTGTTGGGTGGAGGCGGCGGAGCCCGAGGCAGGCTGAGATGGGCGTCCCGGCGCCCTCTGAGGACCCCTCATTGGTCCTCAGGTGGACCCCCAGAGCGAGCTCGGCCCCGCACCCCGGCTGCGCTCTGCTCTTTGCCGTGGGGCGCGGCCTCGCGCTGACCTGAGGCCGTGGCCCCCCAAATCTAAATCCCCGGGAGTAGTCTCCCGTATCCAGCACCACCGCCCGGGTCGCCCCAGACCCTGCATCCCCATGGGGTCCCCGACCTGCACCCCTGCTGGGGAAACTTCTCTTTTCGGAAGAACGTCAAGGATGAGGGCTCCAGGCAGATGGGTGAGCAGGTATCTAGGGAGAGTTTCTGGGCCAAAATACTCTAGAAATCCTCTATCGCCCCACTTCTCTTCAGGAAACAGGGAGAAGGTGGTCATGCCGGCGACCCCCACCAGCATTTGCAGCAGATTCAGCCTTTCACCCTCCCACCCCTGCCCCCCATCAAGCTGCAGGCCTTGGGCTAAGAACCGAGGTATAGGGGCAGGAGAGGTGGTACAGCAGGTTGGACACTTGTCTTGCATGTCCCCATACCTTCTTGCCAGTAATGATCTCTGAGAGCCGAGCAAGTAGTAAGCCCTGAGCA